GTCAGCATGGCCCTGCAGTGTGAGGCGAGGGCAAGGAAGGCCAGGCCGTTGAAGAGCGCCCCGTTGAACAGGCTGTAGGCCAGGCTCTTGGAGGGCAGCAGCATGACGAAGACCACCACGAACTCGGCGTAGACGACCAGCAGCCAGGTGATGACGCCGCAGACGATGCCGCAGCCGTCCCGGATGAACCACATGCCGGCGGTCCTGGCGCGGGGCGGCGGAGGCGCGCAGTGCTCGGGCCGCAGGTAGCCGGCTTGCCTCTCGATGTCCCTGCACCGGTGCGCCGGGCTCCGCATCCTACGACAGGTGCGCCATGGCCACGCTGCAGAAGAGCACAGAGCCCGGCCCGTCAGCAGACGCCAGCCGACCCGCCGGGACTGTGCACCGCTCGCCTGCTCGCTCGCACGCGCGCGCGGCCCCCTGTTCCTTCACCAGTTTCCAGGCCAAGCATCAAAATCCAACACGACCGCGCAAGCGAGCCAGCTAGGAATACGCACAGGGAAGGGGGCTACAGTACATTCCCACTTATGTGCAAATCCGATCTATCCGCCACCCTCGCTTTGCAGCAGCAGCGCTGTACTATGGAGACAGGGGAGGTATTTTTAGGTAAGGGCTTCAGAATAAAGGTGACTCCACAATTCAGTCACTACTTCAACACCGCCTGTGGAATAGGTAGGTCTCGACACCCGTGCGTCCTGACTGCAGCTCATGAGCCTGTGGGATGGCAGAACCGCAAGCACGTTTTCCCCCCATGTCAGTACAGGACGCAGCAGTGAAACCTGTTTCAGCCATCCTATTTCCCAGAGAAGGTAGTGCAATTTAGCCCTTTTCAAGTGATGAGGCTTTTTCATTGAACCAACGGGGCATTCAAAAAAAAATCATTATATGTACGGAGACGAATATAATAAAAATAAGATAAAATAGAATAAAAATCTCATTTTATGAACCGCTCAAACAATCTCTCAAACGAGATTAAAATACGGAACGAAAACGGCTCCTTTCCTTGGCTTAAATCTTGCTTTGCACTCACTGAGAACATCAGAGGGGCAACTCTTTTTGTTACCACCAGTTTAAGAAAACTCTTGCGATACAGTGTACACTGTTCTGTAAGTTTCTCCTTACTAAAAGGATTGTCATATTAAAATTTGAATTCCTGCATTCATATAAAAAATGTGGTGGTGGGTGGAGACTGTTCTGGCACAGCCAAAGCAGGTGAAGGAAATGAATGCAGCCTCTAACTTCAAAGCTGCTCTCAACTCCCTTCTGTTTCCTTCATGGGGTGAGTCTGAGGCCTGTCTTGCTTGCGCAATCCTCTTCCTTGAGGACAGATCTCATGTAACAATGGTTCCCAGTGGCTGAACGGCTAAGGACTCCCCTGTGTGGGGAAAAAGGTTCCACAGTTCAAAGAGGGCAGTATTATTTGACAGCAGCGCAGGATTATCAATATGCTGTGACTAACACTCCAGGCACACGTGCCATCATCTTGAGTTATTCAACTAATTCAAATCGGTTTTGCACAGCGCAAAACATCTAGTTTTCCTTGGCCAAAGAATGCTTCTCCAAGAAAGAAAGACCAAAGCAAATTCATTGTTTTACTTGTCATCACCGAGTTAATTCACTCAGTGCATGTACGCGGCACTTTTTCCATTCACAAGAGGCAGCAGATCAGGAAGAGAAGTGAGCAGCTTCTTCAACAGGAAGGGCTTTAGGTTAGCGAGACTGTGCAAACTCCGAGTACCCACCACACTGGGGTTAGTATTTCCCACTCTTAGCGACAGACACATGGCTACTTAGACTTCATTAACATTTCGTCAGAAGGACAAAACACTGTCTCCGTTCCCCACACTGGACCACTGTTTTTTAAGGACGTTCGGGCCCAGGGTACGAACACTACCTACTGGCCCATTAACACCACTGACAACAACAAACTGGTTTTCTTCCTATCCCAGACTGCCCATGCCCACCCTTGCTTGGCTTCCAACATCGGAGAAGATCGGCCGAGACGCTCAACAGTTATTGTAGGCGACCTGACCTTGAGGGAAATAATATAGATAATATATAGATACTGTAGAAAAGCCCCGAAGCACCAGAAAAGGACAGAGTTCAGTGTTAAGACATGAAAAACAGGGATTCTACATACAGGTAACATTCAAACACTTCTTTTATTCAATCTATAGAGACTTCAAACTTACAGGGCATAAAAGAGTTCTCCCACATGGTTTGCCTTTTATTGTAATCTGAATGCTGTTGATATCTTCCTTTCAGCAGCTGGGAACACTACCTTTTTCCTCCCTGGAAAGTTCCACAAAGAGGAAGGACAGAGTTACTTGGCTGAATCCTAATAAAATAATTGGTTCTCACCATGTTCTTGAAACTTACAGAGTATCTGATAATGAAATAGGAAGTGAATACAAATGAAAGTATTATCTTCCATAATAAAGATGCCTCTCAACCTCTCAAGAGAAGCCCATAATGAAAGCATCGAGTTCATCCCAATCAGTTGTAACCTTTTTATGTTTTGTGAGTATTGGTATGTTCAAGGTGAATTGTACAGCAAAGGTATCGATAGATTTAACAAATGCAGGAAATGCAAGTGAACCATTCAACTGGTAGGATTTTTGGAAGAAGAATTTATAATATCCAATTTATAAGATCCCAAGATACAAAAGTGTTAAAATAAACAAATAGCAGATGCAAAACAAAGGTTAGCATCTTAAATTGAAAGGGTTTCACAATTTAAAATAGAGAATTTAACATATGGTTGCTTTTGAAAATGCAATTTACCATAGCCTAAGGGGGGAAAACGAGTGAAATACTGAACTAAAAAAAACTCAAGTGGGGAAAATCTCTATTATTATGGAAATGTGCGTCTTCACTGAACAGGGGAAATAAGTCTCTCGATTCACTTCAACATCTACTTGCTTGAAAATATTGTTAACTTTTACTGTGGTGGCATATAAAGAAGATTAAACTTCAAAACCAATAAATCACAAGTGTCCAGCCAGCAGTACAGTCAGAAATGGACTCTCTCTATTCCCCCTGCAAAATTAAATGGCAACAATGTGGACTTTTGGCCAACTGATCTCACATCCTGACAGGACGTGGAAAATATTGAAAACAGTCAGAGACCGTCTAAATAAATCACTATGTCATCTGCATCGAGGTAAATGTAGCGGAATGACAAAGAGGCTGCCAAGGCCAAGGCAAACACAGGTGGAGGAAGGCCCGTAGATATCGCCGAACTGGGAAGAACATTTGTTGCTTGGCAGCACCACAGCCGAGAGGTTAGCAAACAAACACTTCGGCCATGTTAAGGAAAACTGATCCACAGGCCCTAGGAGCTCAGAATGGCACAGGGAGAGACACTCTCTGTGTTTAATGAGGGGTGTGATCTGACAAACCAATTTGGTCTCACAAACCTTATGAAGTTTTAGCATTCAACTTACAAATAAATAGGATGGGACAGTAGCTTGCGTGGAGTGTGAGTGAAACTTTCTTTTTTTCCCCACCAATGAGAAGTGTACAAAAAACGTACTGATGTCCCCCTGAACACAACCTTCCTCAATGGCCATGTGCAATATGTTGTCTTTTGCTTAACACAACTGGGGCCAACGTGTCAGCTCTAACGCAGGACAGAGGGCAGCAGGAGCAGCCTGGAGATGTCCTCACACTGACTCCATTCGCCCAGACAGAGACACGGCTTCTTCCAGCAGGAGAAGAACTAGGCAAGGAGAGAGTAACCCTGCACACACACCCCTCCTGATCAGCCGGTGTTTCAGAACTGTATGGCTTAGAAGAAAGCATGAAAGAAGTCAAGCTTGTCGCCATGGGATTTGACAGCAACATCTTCTCAGCCAAACCAACGGCCAGAATATCAGCCTACTATTATCAGAGTCTCAGAGCTAGTAAGTGTATCGGTCAACTGCTAGTAGAAGTACAAGTCCACCTCGATCTCTGCATAAGAAATTCAGAACACTAATCGGCAAATTTTCATTTAGTCAGAAAGGACGAACTGCCAAGCATGCTCCAGAGAACTTTTCTCTCATTTTTCAATTTAGTCATTTTTCTAAGGCAAGATTTATTCAAATGTGAGGCAAACACAGTCAAATGATTTTTAATGAAGTCTGTGCCTGTTTTCTCTAGGTAGGATATGAGGGTTGCTCACTGGGCCAAAGTTAAAATGAGGCCTTTTAATAATTTAAATTTCTATTAGACTAAATTCAGTGAGCTTGAAACTGCATCCAAAAGCTCGATGACCACATGGGTTGTTTCTCTGGGGAGAAAAGAGGCTGAGAGGCAAACGTGCAGACAGTTCTGGAGACTCATTTACATAGTTAAACACTGCAGAACCTAAACAAAAGCCATTCGATGTCTGAAATATTTTCAAATATGCCCCCTGACCACGAAACAGAAATTGAAGAACTCCTTCACCGTCCCTTACACACCCTCCTTGTCAAGGTTTCTGCAGAAAAGGAGTTTGCCACTAGCGAATCTATAAACATCCTGTTGCTTCAAATGAGACTGTGCTATGGGAACACCCATGTGTCCCCTTTGCAGTACATCTAAACAGCAGCATGTTTGCTGTCTGGCGCAAGTATTTATCCTGCACATGCACCCTGACAAAATTGAAACACTAGTCAAACAAAGCCAGTGGTGGAATTCATCTTGAATCAATAAAGAGCACGCAGCAGCTGCTGAATGAATGAATGCAGAGAGACCAAATGCCCCCACAAAGAGAACACACTAAGTGAGAGCAGAGGGGGACCATCCCCTGTTCTCTTAGAATCACTAACACTAACGCCATCATGACGTCAAAACACCCACCAGTGCCCCGCCCCCTCCCCGACAGTCCTGCCAGTACACATCACTGGTTTCCCCACGAGAAAAACAAACACATCATTTTTAAATAAATAACGCAATGGCCAGCAACCACAAAAGATCTTCTTTAATCCACTCCATCACAGACTGTGTTGGCCAGCACGGCGAACCTTTAGCAGGGCCACTGCTGAGTGATCTCCTTACTACTGGAAAGGCAGGTCTCTGCTGTACTATCACCAGGGCAGATCCCTCTGCTGAACAAAGGGCTGGACTGCCTGCTTTCTTTCAAAATCAGTGGAACCCGAAAATAAACACCTGGGGCTTACAGCAAGCCTCAAGAGTGATCTTCACACATCCTGCAGGCCCTCTGAATAAACACGTCCCGCTGTGCCATATTTGGAAATGACCCGAGGATTGCTTTGTTGAGGAATCCAGCTAGATCACTGCGTTCAAATTACGCTGATAAGGGCCTGATTTAAAAACAGGATTTTTACCGAATGGCCTTTGTGATTGATTACCTTGAGCTTTACACTCGCCAGCATCATTGTGTTGGCATCGTTTGTGCAAAACCAAGCCCGGTTCAGAAGCCAACGAGCTGTGCACAGCACTCCGAAAGGTCACCGTGCCCGCTGTCTCCGCTATCAGGCTACATCTGTGCCTGGCCATTTTATGATCAGGACAATCAGTTTCTTTCACTTTTTTTCTTTTCGTTTGTTGTGAGACAGGATCCTGATTTTCCTGGATCGGCTGCATTTTTGCAAAGACCGGTCTCAAAATGGCAGAACTAAATCTGGGGGAGAAAAAGGGGCCTATTTCAGCTGAGTGTGCGTTACCTTTGCTGCTGTGGCTGCTGGCGTTCTGTGTTTAGGCTTGGCCTTTCCTTAATGTCTTTGCATTGGAGCACACATGCGAAAGAGCACTCCACTGCCCTTGTGCACACGACAGAATAACCTGGACTGAACTGTCACACTCGTCTCCCAGGAAGGCCACTCAGCTGTCATATCGTTGCACCAGGATGAGCCCACAGGAAGGACTGCAAGTGGCATCCCAAAACATGAGCAGTGAAGCAGCATGCAGTCAGGCTGTTAAAAAAATCACCACCAATGGCATCACACCTGGACCAGCAATCAAGTGCATCATTCTGCCTGTGCGCACCATGCTCGCCAATATACATCAGGGTGGGCAACGCAAACCGCGATTTATTGTGAAAGAGGCTGGTCTGTTCCTACAACACCTTTGCCTTTGCGTCACTTGGGATTTCTTCATAACAACGGACGTTCACAAGGTTAAATCAGCTCGTCGCCTGTGCCCAATCAGCCCTCTCACTAATGAGGCGACTTCATGCTTATGAAAGCGTCAAAGTCACTTGAGTGAACCAGGGTCAGTCATTAATGACCAATTCATCAAAAATAAAACCGATATGCAAAACGAACATTCTTTCTCATTCTAGTAACATATAGAAATTGAACTATTGAACTTTGTTATGATATTCTATATGTCCCTCTTTAAAAAGCAGCCAGATTGTAAAGGTACTGTAGGTGCCTTTCTGTGAACCTACAAGGGAAATATTTGTGTACACACAAAGGGAAGGGTATATGACTAAGAACTAGACTACGATAGTAGGTAAACACTAAGAACTAGAAATGCCAGACTACAATGTCACTTTCACCAAAGGGACAAATGTAATAGACAGAAAGGTAAATTATTTCTCAGGCCACAGTCACAAAAGAAGAAACACTATTATACGTACAACAATGGTACTGCAACAAAAAAAAACGACAACAAAATAAGATCACATTCTAATTCAAAACCAAATAAAAAACTAATGCATTCATCAGATGGGTTGGAATTCTTTCTTACCAACAGAAGAGGCAGATTCTTTTCAATAATTGATGATTTAAAACAATAATTTAAAATAAGCTCAATAATTCAAAGGGGGAAAAACTTAAAATGAAGATGACAGAGCAACCAGCAACATTAAAAAATACAGCCAACAGATGCAGTGTCAGAGCAGAATTTCTTAAATCAGGCTGAAACTATATCTTGATCGTCAAAAGAATTGTAACGTGAAACATGAATTCCTACGATCAACCTCGTCACAAAGAAGGGGGAGAGAGTGCGGTACTGACCACCACATTGTAAAAAACGTGATTAATAAGTAATATTACTAAGTTGCTATAGTAGAACTGCGGACGTTTCAAAGCCAGCAGCAGAACTCTCAAATGCTCCTCATAAAAGTAACTCAGTTCCTTAAATGTCAGAATCCCGGCTGATCCCAAACAATCATTACGAATAATAAGAGTTATACATCATCTAGAAATGATTAATTAGCAGACAGCAGTCTGTGCGAGGCTGGCTTCTTCAGGCTTTGAGAGACTCCAAGCACTATTCCCTTTGGCTAATGAACCAAGTTACCAAGTACTTCACACACACAAAAGCTTTTTTTCCCTGCAAGACCACAGGCCTTGTGCGACTATCAATGTCACTGTCCCGGAAACACGGCTCTTCTACAATTACAGTGAAGATTAATAATGCAAATAATCCAACAGCATTATAGGCAACTTTTCAAATTAAACAAAATCTATAAATTCACAATGTGCAATTGTGCAAATGTTTCCCTGTATTCAATAATGTACTTTGAAATTTACTATACATAATGCTGACCACATGGACACATTGCTATACATACAAAATTCTCAAAACCACTGCAGAGCGTTTTCTCTGGCATGCATTAAGTGTGCCATGTGCAGGAAAATGTAGCGTTGGGGAACAAACCTTAAACTGTGCAGCACAATTTTGTAACGATGGGCAAAAGAAACGCAACACAGCTCTAAAACTGATCTAGTCACAAACCACAGAAAATGTGATGGGATCAAAGAAATGCAAAAGGTTTTTCAGACTAAAAGGTGAGAAAATGCCACAAAGTCAAAATGAAAATATTGCAAAGGAAGCAGTGGGAACAACTGTCCTGAGCAAATGATGCACGGACCTGATCAGCCTCTGCACAGTCCGCTGTGGGATGATCCGACACACCTCTGCAGCTGCTTCCAGCAGCTGGAAGTCAGCTGGTCACACCTGGCCGGAGCAACACTCAACACGAAGCTCACCATGTGGGCACCCCTCCATCGGGTTTGTCAAGAGTGAAACCGCCAGGTGAGTAAGACACTCTTAACACCCCCTCGGCTGCCACCTCGCGTGTTCTTTGGCACCTTCGGGAGACGATGCCTGAACAGCCTTCACACTCGCGGATCTTTTTCGTGCACGTGTGGAGCTACAACATCTGCTGATATGCTTGCAACGTCCTCCAGGATTTCCTCCAGTGACGGAGCCCCCCCAACCTGAAGACAGTCCCGCAATGGGACGCCACAGTCCCGGCCAGCGTGGTGCCCCCCTGCCTCTCAGGCTGTAGGCTGTCCCTCACAGAGCCAGTTTCCTGGTTTCTCTCAACTAGTGAGCTGCCAGCCCCATTCTCCTGCGGATCAGCTCTTCCTACAGCCTTCAATCACGCAGACGGCAACCAGAGGATCTTCACTTCTCCAGCAGGGCAGGGTCATATATCTCACTGTTCTTGCGTTAATTAAATCACGTTTATACAGGTTGCCAGCTCATCTTGATTCTTTTAACTCTTCACAAATACTAAACAGCAGGCCTTTTACTAAATCAAACGACTTGATAGTATTTCGCCCTCTCAACGAATACTACTCAATCAACAAATCATCTCAACTCTTAATTAAGATGTGAATAATATAGTGCACAAGCCCAGTGCGCTACCGTTATGAAAGTGGTACATTTTCATTGCACCCCTATACTTATTTGTAAAAAATCTATACTTTTAAAACACCAAGTGGAGGGTAAATATAGTTATCCTGTAAGTTCGTGGGACTACTACTGAATGCATCGTGAATATTATTCACAAACAAATTACAGTAAGAAAATAGCACTCAAGTTTAAAAAACAGTTAGCATTGTGGACGTTTAACATTGTGGAAGACGTTAGCAACATCAACCTATATCACAGCAATGTGAAGACTCCCAGCACAAGATAAACACATTAAAATGACGTTTGCTGTAGTGGCATTCCATAAGGGTTCTGGGGGTAAACACACTGTACGATCACTCTGTTACACTTTCTACATTACTTGTAACATGGATCTGCTATGGTGATACACACTCCATCGCACCACAGATGGTGGCCAGCCCGACACGACAAAAAGCTGCCGACTGACGAACTGGAAAGACCGCCAGCCATATCGCCGCAGTCACTCCTCTTCAAACTGGGAGGAATGTGCGAGTGGGGTGGACGCGACGATGTCTCCCCGAGACTGCCAACCTTTACGCTTCGAGATGAAACCGACGTCAAACCCGTCCACCTTCGCGGCATGGGCTCGACTTCCAAAGGCTATTTTGCGGTATCTCAGACAACGCTAGCGCTATTTTATAATGGGAGGAAACGCAGACTGGCCAAAGGTGGCATGTTTTTTTTTTTTTTTTTTTAAACGAGCCGTCGTTTCAGCTACAGGAATCCAAACCACCGCCACTGTGCAAGATTTCGAGTTTAAGCCGAACAACTGGTCTGCACTCACCTTTCACAGGACGAAGGGGGGTTGCACGTTTAAGGCACAGGCGGCCAGATGTTGTTTCCTTGTCAGAAACACCCGCGATGGAAAACCTAATGTCAGCCTCATACACACGCTGCCTCCCGCTGCCAGCGCACCTTGGCGAACCGCGATGCGCGCCTCCCTTCTGAACCAAAGGCGCTGTGCGTGTGTCTTATCACGCAACTAACTGCCGGTTTGCCCGACCTACTCCTCCTTAACCCATAGATTAAGGTGGCTGCAGTTCCGCATCGCCATGCCCCTGCTCGACGGTGCAGTCGGTAGGGTCCCTGTACTATCTGGAGAGCTCTGGCCAAGCCAATGCAAGCGAAAGTAACCAACCAGGAAGTGCGCCGTGTGCGTGAAGAGGCGACGCTTCCTGCGCCCCGAACTCCAGCTAAAAAACACCCTTCCTTCCCGTTTTGTCAGTCACACCAGTGCGAAATCTTCCGAGGCGTCCTTCTTGGTATATTACCCCCCGGAGGCTGTTGAAAGGCAAAGGGCTGCCAGCATATGCAACAGTTTTTCCAAGTCCGCAAAAATCCTCACAGCATTGCGCAATCGGACCGACCTGGCGCGCCCCCCGGCGTGTCGCAGTTTGATGAGGTAGCGGCTGTCCCGGCCACACGTGGTGCGGAGAAAACATGGCTACTGTGCAGATCAGCGAAGCAGAGAAGGTCTACATCGTGCATGGTGTTCGGGTGAGTTACCTTATAAAATTATACGAAATTGTGTTTTGCTGGGGATGGGGGTTCAATTTTGGTGTGTGAGTTTGTTAAGCGGGAGAAACGGAGCTTTAAATGCAAACCAACTTCTCTCTCGGCGTGAGAGTAACCTGTTTTCAGTGCTTATGTAGAAACCCAGTTGGTAATAAGCAGTCGGTAGCCGATTAACAGCTTCACGCTGAAAGCGATTTTAGAAACCTGTTTGGAAAATAACGTGCACGATTTATTTTTGTATTTTTTTTAGGATGACCTGCGAGTGGATGGGCGGGGCTGTGAAGATTACAGACACATGGAGATTGAAACTGATGTAGTGTCCAACACCGACGGGTCCGCCAGAGTTAAACTGGTAAATAACACATCCGGTCTGCCTTCGTTCTAGAGGCAACGATGCAGCTGTGCGTCTCACTGTCTTCCCTGCGCTCAGACAAATGAGCTAAGTGACAAGGGGGTGTGTGTGTTCATGATAAAAATATGGAGGTTTCCATGTTTTTCATTGCTGCTTATGGGTAAATTGATTGTTGATGAAGATATAACATTTCATTAAGAACACCACTGCGGAGATCTGAGTTATCCAGACAGAGTGACAAAAGAGAGTATTGTGCTCATCCACATTCTCTACATCACATGTTGCTTCAGACTTCATTTAGCAGTGTATAAGCCTGTTTGCAGTGTGAGTTGAAATAGGATCCCAAGCTTTCTCAAGGGAATAAACCTTTACTTGCTCCTTCGCGGTGTGATGTTTATTTGGTTTCTCCAGGGGTACTCGGATATCCTTGTGGGAATCAAAGCAGAGATTGGCAGACCGAGGCCCATGGTGCCAGATGAAGGGTTTCTGGAGTTTTTTGTTGACTGGTAAGTTGTTTTTTATTCCAAACAGCAGTTTTCAGCACAGTACCACTGCTCTCACTGGGTCCTGTATGTTGCACAGATTGACAGTGCAAATTTAAAAAGTAAAAATAATTCACAATGTCTTGTGACAGTAGTAATATGAATTCTACACTGTACTTACAGTTACGACAGTTGAATATTAAAAAGTTCTAGAGTATTAACTCTTCAAAAGTGTATGATAAGTAGAAGGATGAATCTGAGTGTACCATAACTGAAAATACGTAGTTCTGCTTCAATTTTAAGAGCATACAGAGTGTCTTGCACAAGTATCCTGAAGGATTCCACATTTTATATCCGAGCTGGTAAACCTGACGCTTTCAAATTTGACTTTTTATTTTGAATCAACACAGACTATTCCTAAGTGATAAAGCGAAAAAAAAATGCTGATAGTAGCTGCCGGTAGCAGCTGTCTCCTGTGGTGGTCTATAAGACTGAAAACCCCTTTTCTGAAGCGTCAGCTGTTAGGCCTTAGTGCTGACACAGTAGTGTTTATTTTGATTTTGGATCAAAACAGTTGTCATTTAAGAACCACTCCACTGAATACACTTCGTATACACAACCAGTAGGTGGAGGTAAAGGATTAAAAATGGATTTTTGTTGCCTTTGCTGAAAGTCTTTGAAACAGAATTTTGTTTTTTAATGTCAACAGACATGTTTTCTCTCACTCTGAGGACCGGTAATCAATGGTTTTCAGATTAACTCTGAATTTCTTTAGGCAGAGGGTGAAGTGACAAATATTTCATCACAACAATACATTTTCTAATGTTGGGAGTGTATTCTGAGTTCAGTTCCAACACTGATGATAAAGCTGATTATTCCTGGTGAGGCTGACCCAGAGGACATCCGTGTTGCTTAGATAGAATCAGGATTATATCCTGGACAGCGAGCTAGTCTAGAGAGAGAGGCGCGCGCTCACTCCTGCACACATACACATAGAACCCAGAGACACCTTGTCGCCTTGTCTGTGGGCATCCAGAGGAAAGTGGAGCACCTGGGCACAATCAATGTGAACACCTGCAAAGCTTGCAGAACCAAATAGAAGCTGCCCCAGGCCAGGATCAACCCTAGAGTCCTAGAGCTGTCAGTCCTCACTGCTGTGCTGCCCAGCACAGAGAAATCCGTCTCTTCAAACCTCTGCTCCACATCTTGTCTTGCACGCTGGGAAAGGACAAGAGGGGAAAGCAAAGTAGAGTCACTTTGAGAACATAGAAGGTTAACGATGCTATAGTAGCAGATAGTGGTTGTTGCAATATTGGTAAGTCCATTTTGTACGCAACTGTTTTGTCTTTTCCTGAAATCTCCAGGATTTAAGGGCTGGTTCGAGCTACAAATCTTCACGTGTTTTTGAAAACTTGCTCCTCAGCTCGGCAAACGCAACCCCAGAGTTTGAAGGGCGAGGGGGAGAAGACCTCGGCACCGAGATCAGTAACACGCTGTACAAGGTATTCAACAACCCCCACAGCGTTGACCTGCGGGCGCTCTGTATCAGCCCCAAGGAGCACTGCTGGATTCTGTATGTGGACGTGCTGGTGAGTACGTCCGCTCCAGAGCCTCGGAAATTCAGTGCGTAGCATTGCACCTCTTTATAAGAGGTTTAAAGATACACTGCCTTTATTTTTCGTCTCTCAAGGAGAGGGAGTTATAGTTGGTAATTTCTTTCCCTGATTTAAATATTCGTCTTTGCAGGGTATTCCGATGTTTTTTTTTTCAGTCATTCCTAAAGTGGTGTGCATTTGCAGTGGTCAAACTTGACTTGTTTCTGCCGCTGTAAACAGGAGTTTTAGGGTGGAGACTCATAAAAACCTCTTTATGCACAAATGAATAGAACTGTTGTAAGAGTTTATTCTAATGCCAGGTGCTGCATCTGAAAGCTCCTTCTAATGTTTGCTTTCCAGCTGCTGCAATGTGATGGAAACCTGTATGATGCCATCTCTGTAGCAGTTAAAGCAGCCCTCTTTAACACACGGTAAGGCAATGCATGTGTTCCAGTTGTAATGTCAGCGGTTTGTGAAGACGTGCATGGTTTTGCCAAAGATAAGTTTTTATGAGTTGACCTCTCATGTCATAGTAATACTTAGGCTATTCCTAAATGATATGTAAAGTCTAGCTTTGTAATACGCGAGTAATAATAATAATAATAATAATAATAATAATAATAATAATAATTGCTTATACTTATATAGCGCTTTTTCTGGACACTCCACTCAAAGCGCTTTACAGGTAATGGGGACTCCCCTCCACCACCACCAATGTGCAGCATCCACCTGGATGAGTACAGTGTTTAAACTGATGAAAAAGAAATTACATTTCTAAAATAGAAAAATCGTCAATCCCATTATTGATTGAGAATAGATTTCTTCCCCTCAGCCTCTCAAGTTACTGGTTCCATGTAGTTCTTAATGAGCTTCCACATGATAAGGTTTCAGAAAAACAACGAGATTTGGAGGGATTTCAAAACATTAGTCATTTATCATTAACATTTTACATTAATCTTGATGGTTGAATGAGGGCCATTTTTAAATTTTGGGTGTCTAAAGCTCAGAACCAGTTTTAAAGCTCAGAACCAGTTTTATCGTTTTGGGGATTTTTATAGTACAAACTCAGTAGACTGTCAGAACACAAGTGTAATGGTGAGAGTAATGTTTTCAAGATATTTTCTGGTTTTTCCAAAGGATTTACAGAAATGTGACAAACTATGATTAGACATCTAAAAATATGATCTTGGTTTTCCCCATGTTATTTCCAGATCAACTCTTTTAAAAGTTCCAAAACGTATCAAGCAGCAGAAATGTTTGGCAAATGTTGATGTATATCATGCTTTAATCACAGTTATAAAAATGATGATTGCTAAAAAATATCCCGTAATTCATGTAGATGAAATCCAAAGCTTTTAGCTTCAAAAGAAACTGAGTAGATGTCTATATAGTAAGTATTCAATAATTAATATAACTAGTTCATAAAAAAAGAGCTTTTCAATATAAAATCAGTAATACATACAGTGAATATAATGGGCCCAATCAGAAAATGTTATTGCATTGATTGTTCACACCCCAAATTTGTAAATCTGATCAGGACATTTTGAGTTTGTTCTTGGGAACAGGTGAGATTTTAAAGCTATTGCTTGGTCTTAAGAAATCATTATTCTCAGTGAGCTTTTTCCAGAAACCTTGTCGTCTCCTCTGCTTGATGCAATACTCAATGTCAGACGTCTTCTGTCACAGAATTCCCAGAGTTCAGATCTCGGAGGATGATGAAGGTACCAAGGAAATTGAGCTCTCGGATGACCCGTATGACTGCATGAGGCTCAGTGTGGAGAACGTGCCCTGTATCGTGACACTTTGCAAGGTATGCTCTCAGCCCATCTCTTCCACTGGGCAGAGGTGCAGGGGGTGTCCATGCGTTTTTGCTCACCTGTGTTTATAAGTAGATTGCACATTGTCTGTATTCGCAGTTTTAACACAGGTTTGAGATTTTGAATTTAATTTTTAAAACATTGTGTTATGAGATGGGATTCTTGCATTCCTTGTTTCATTTCCAGATTTAAACTGAGTTTGACAGTCCGCCAAGCTTTTATTTAAAATTCTAACAAGTCTCCCGGTGTGTGACTTTTGTACTTTTTGCCGTCCGCAAGTGCCACAAGAGGGATTTTTCTGAGTATTGCAGCACATTTAATTTGGTTTTGAACTGCAGTATATTCTTTCTCTTAATGTGTCTCAAAATGTGCATCTACTCCAACTCTGCCTCATGTGGGTAGCTGTGTGTATTGAAGAGTGAAATTATTTAAAGACTCAAACACACCTGTGTGCAGAGAACCATATCTTGGTGGGCTGGGGGTGGTTGTGGCCAAAGGAGCTGAGAACGCAGAGCAGGTTTGAGCTGTTCAGAGTCCAGAGGAATTGTGATGCCTCGAGGGGGGTGACCCTGCCAGGGGAATCCGTTCCAGTTTCAACCCCGTCTGCTCCCCCGCGGTACAGACAGCACCTTCCTGTCCTGGGGTCAGTCACTCAAGCTCCGCAGTGTCTCCCTGACGGATGTGCCATAGAGGAATGGTGACTGCGGCACCATATTAGTCCAATATTGTCTTAGAACCCCTGACACAGAAATGTTAGCGTTCCTACCTGTGCTGCGCTGTCGGCTGGTTAACCGAATGTGGGAGTGCCCTCTTCACTGAGCTATTGGGGTGTAGCTAGTAAACAGCCCGTTAAGCAGCGAACCTGTGGCACAGGGGTTGAACGGCTGAGTCTCCATCAGTGACGCTCTGCATCTGTCGCTCCAGGTTGGCCAGAGACACATAGTTGATGCTACGCTCCAGGAGAAGGCGTGCTCCAAGGCCTGCCTGCTGCTCTCAGTGACCAGCAGAGGCACCGTCACCTGCGTGAGGAAGATTGGCGGAGGCAGCTTGGATCCGGAAAGCATATTTGAAATGACAGAGGTGAGCTTTCAGCTCCCTGAGATCATGTTGGCGATCGGTGACGCTTAAGAATTTCTCTTGGTGCTTATCCAGTGTTCAGAACGACTAAATTCAAGAATTTAATATATTATTGTAGTGTAATACATTATGTATTGTATAATTTAATATGTTATTGGATTATTATTTATTTTAAATAATTTAAAGCAAACTGTGAAAGTCTGTTTCTTTTCAGGAACAGGAATCTTTTTAAAATCAGATGAAGGCAGAAATTGAACATTTTATCCCAGGGTTGCCAGTATTCTTTCATATCATTTGAGTACCCTTAGATGTCTGTGGGTGGAGTGTAATGTAGAAATGTTGTTCTGTAGGAAAAGGCTGCTGTACAAGATTCTCGGATCAGTCAGTTACTTGCATCAGACCAACTTTGGTCTCTTATTCCTTCTCGTTTGTTCGTATTCTTATATTCTTAAGAAAGAGGAGAAGAGGCCATTCAGCCCCTCTAACCTGTTTGGTAGTTAGTCGTTAGTAGACCCAAGGCTCTCGTCCAGCCATGTCTTGGAAGAAGCCAGGATATTGGCTTCAGCAACATGGGCAGAGTAACTTGTTCCATGTTCCCACAACCCTCTGGGTGCAGAAGTGCCTCCTGTTCCTGGTTTTAAAAGCACTTCCACGTAGTTTCTCCTTCTGCCCTCTCCTCTGCGTGTCACTGCTGAATTTTGAAGAAATCCTTCAGGTTCTTTCTTGGGCGTCTTAGGTTTTGTAGGTGAGTACGGATTTGGAAGCGGAGCATACGTGCAGGTTACGACAAAACCCTGGAACGGGTGACTGGCACAGAGCAGCTGACCTGGCGGTCTTGTTTCTCCTCAGACAGGGAAGCGCGTGGGCAAAGCTCTGCAGTCCCCCCTGATGGAGCTGCTGCAGAAGGAGGAGAGCTTGGGGAAGAAGAGGCAGAAAGTTGGCTTCCTGGGATAATTCCCTCTTTACGGTGCTTGTTTTGTAAATGACCTTTTCTAATAAATTCTTTAGTTTTGTGTACGCAGGTTGACTTCTGGTGTTTAATTTAGCTCAAAGCCCCCAGAATGACAACAGTGGCTCTACCTTACCCCAGAGGGTAACCAGAGGCAGCTCGAGCAGCAGAGGCAAATTCGCTTCTTGCATTTGTGTAGCGTTTTTCACCCCCAAACCCCGAATTTACAGAAGGGGCCTTCACCCATTTCCGAAGTCGCCTACATTGTGTAGCGGCCGTTGTGCACCAGCAGCCCCGCTGCACAACAGACCCAGAGGGGAAGTGTGAAGCTCCTTGGCCAGTTTCAGCACGTGGACATGCCAGATTGAGGGCACAGGAATGGATGTTATTCAGGGTGCAGTTCTGACAACACCTATGTTTTCACATCATAGGATTTTTCGTAACAGTTGAGGTGTCAAATGTAGGAATTGAGGCTAGTTTATGGTCTTAGGAGAGAAGAGTGCCAGCTACTGGACCACCAACCTGCTTGACACAGGAACCTATCTTTTCTTTTGCTAGCTCCCATCCACCGCTGCACACGGCTGTCTGCCCTGTAACTCTCAGGATCTAACGCATGCTTCCTTTAAGTTGGAACAGCTGCAAACTAAAGGAAAGAGCTGGATTTCTGAGGATCTCGGTCTGCTAAAAGAAATGAAAATGTGGCACCAAACAGCACCGTCGTTTCTAATGGAGGATTTCAACCACAATTTTTTGTCAATCCAGGCAAAGTAACTGCTGGCAAATCAGTTTGCTGCAGACTGAAAACACCTCCTTCTCCCGAGCCTGCGTACCCTTAATTCCAGAATGTTCTTTCTGGAAGCTGCGTGCTTTTATCTTTAAATGTCAGAGTGTAATTTTGTGTGTCTTGGAAAGGATTTGTAGGGAAAAGAAAGAGCAATGCGTAATTTTCTAGACGGGGCCCCAGCTTTCATTATGCAACACCCGCCACGTTTCAGCTGAAGAGCCTCCAGCCCAGCTGAGAAGAAACAGATGTGAGCTGGAACAGTGCCGCTGCTTCATAACCTCCGCATGGGCCTGGCGCAAAAACCCCACGCGAGTGTGTGTGTTGGTGCCTTTCAGTTTTTCTTGTTTTCGTTTGCCAGAAGCCAAGAAGCTGCTTCTCACCAGTAATGAACTGATTTGATTAATTTAACGAGGAAAGTACACCAGAGCATGGAGTTCGTAACAGAAGTTCTGGGGGAAGGCTCGATCCTCATCTCGCACACTTCTGGGACTTCCCTTCGCAGATCTCTTTCACACCCCCTCCTCCACCTCTCCACCCACACCCTTGTAGCAGCTCCCTGGCTCATTCCTCTCAAAAGTGAAGGGGGGCATTTGGGCAGCTTCAGCCCTACAGTTAGACTGAGATTGACTCAGCTGGGTGGGGTCACAGAAGTACTTTCACATACTGTATCCACTTTATTAGCTATATACAATTTCTTATTTCTTACATTAGGAATTTCATGCATCTGTTACATTCGTTAGGATCTACTGAATTACAGTTCGAGCAACTACGCTGTTCCTGTATTTCTGCTTGTGCTTGGAAAGCAACACAATATAATTTTATCCAATTTAGAATATCTCAAGTTTTAACTACAGGGTGTGACCGGGGAAGAGGCTTGTGTTCCTGAACTAAAAATGGAAGCAGCTAAGAGATCCTTGTTATTTGCGTGTGATGAATTCACGTTAAAAATAAATGACTATTTTATTAAATATTATCGCGGTGCTGAGGAAATGCACACGTTTGGAGTATCATCTTTCTTTTTCATTTGCACTCTTAAGATGTGTAACAGCATTAGTGGATTTTTGTCCGAAAAAAGTTTTCCCAATAGTCTCGGAAGCAGAATGTATGTCCATCAAAGCCAACAAGAAAGTTTTCAATTTACAGAAATCAAGCCCAGTTTTAAAATGAATGACTTCCCCTGCTACAACTGTCTCCAGCTGCTGTCTTGCCGAAGCCTTTTAAGACTTCAGAACATCTAAGCTACCAGCTGCGGTATCAAATCCTGTTTCTGTAGTCTTTTGTCATTTCCCAGCCTGTGATACAAGCAGGTGTGTAGTATGTCAATCCCAACAATTTCATTTTCATAGCATCTGTCACCTTCTAACTACAAGACAGGTGCTTGCTCTTGATATCTCGCACATAATGCTGATAGTTTCACCACTTAATGCATACAGATGAATATTTTATAGTACATTGAATTAATAGGCCTCTAGTAATGAGCACTAAAGTATCAAATCCAAGGACTGACAGGGCTTTACTAAACAAATACATTGTATAATGCATTTCATCCATTTAATTTATGTATGAGCAGATAAAAGGCTGGTAGTTTTCTGTCCCATGGGTGTTCCTTATTAGGAAACAATTTATTTTTTCTTTTTCTGTACTATAAGTAGGATTGCTTACAACACTGCAAGAAATGTATTGCAGCAATCATGAAAAAAAGCTTGATATGCTACAAATCTGGCCAGCGAATCGCATTATTTGAACTTTCACGAATGGGTGCCATGCAATTTTATTTTACCCAGGCGTTTCAAACTGGGCATGAGTAATGATCCCCTTTGGTGTTTTGAAATAACTTCTTCATAATGGTCCCTCTCATACGCAATGCTTTTTATCCCTCACCCCCACGAAGTTAAAAACGGAGTCTGTTTAACATTTGGAGTTTGTCAGGCTTTGCTCACCCTTGCATGCCTGGTCAGCCCTGGCCTGTGATCTTGGTAAGTGTGTGAAATGCTGTCTGGCAGCAGCTGAGATAAAATAGTTTTTTGGACTCTGCACACTGGACGGATTTATTGAGCAGAAGTTTTTGATTACAGTGTTTTTCCACTTTCTGGCATAAAGAAAGATAAATTGGAGCGCTCTGTCGCTGCGCTGTGCATTTCCAGGTCTGACCATGGCTTTCAGAGGAGTTGTTGTGGTGCTCTGTGTCCTGTGTTTCCTACACGCCTCTTTCCAACAGAGCCCCCCAAAGAAAAAACCTGTGAAGAAAGGTAGGTGGCTGCTATTCTCTTTTTCTGCCCGGAATTATTCTTCTTTAAATACATTTTAAACATTGCAACCCCAGAAACCCAGAAGCGTCACAAATGTTACGGGGTTCTTTCAGATTTCCGAGACAGCAGAGAGAGACGAAAGGAAACCATCAGGCTTTCCATATTCTACAACTCTTACATACTGTTGTTACATACATGTTCTTGTCGTTTCTGAGCAAAAACCAATACTCTGCAAAAAATAAGATGTTTAAAGTATTGTAGCGAATGTAGATAATCAGAAGAATGCAATCTTTAAATATTATTGCCTGCACAGATTAAAAGATGACGCTTCCTCAATGTTATCATTGCGATTGAACAGCAGCAGTGTTTTCTTGGCTTTATTCTGTAAAGTATGGAAAGAGATAACGTGTTTGGAAATTACTGGGGTTTGATATGTCTCACACACACACAGTAATTCTTGTGAATTTGAATTTTTCACTCTGTACATTTGCAGCACGGTCCAAGAAAGTGTCCGGAAAATCTGTAGTCAATGAAAGGTTCAGAAGGTATTTAAATGATAGCTTCCTCTGCTCCTAGATGTTTCTATATCTGTGCGCTGCAATGTGACTGAAAAATTTGAAACTAAAATGCTACTGAGCCACTCTGTTGGAAACTAGTTAAGTTAAATGAATATAGTAAATCTTGGGGTGAGTGTGGTGGCTGTACTCGATATAGTATTAATACATTTTGTTTGGTTTTTGTCCCTTTTTTAATTTCAATCTTTTTGATGGGGTTATGTAGAGATATGTACTTTGTTCCACTGAAATCTGCCAAAGTATTACATACATACACCCAATATACACACATACACCCTGCATGTATGTGTGGTATAATGTATCTAGTTGTGAAGCGATTATGTATCTCTGTAACTTGCGGGTGCTAAAAATGTCTTTGATGTGGTTTTTTTTGTCCATCTTGCTTTACTTTACTTTTCTTACTTTAAACCAGATGCAACAAATACAGCCGTGATTGAGGAGCTCAAAAAACAGATTGATAACATCTTGCAGGAGCTGAGTCTGTTGAAGGAGCAGCAGGCTTTACAGACAGGTACAGTCTCAAATTGCCTGTGAACATCAAAGCATTACACAGAGGATTCAGGCTGCTTTCTGTTGGTAAATACCTTTCTCTTTCTTGCTCTGTTTTAATATTCAGAAAGGAATGAACTTTCTAGGGTAAATCAGAAAGGTCAAAATGGACGTTTGTGCAGTAGCACATCAAAGGATTAGTCCTTTTGTCTCACTGACCAATTTTTTAAATCTGACTTCATTGTTCTGACAAGCTGAAAAAGGAATATTTTTCAGAAAGATTTTTGCAGCCCGATTTGTGTCACAAAATTAGCATTTTTAAAGACTAGACAGATGCAAACATAACCTGTTTCCTAGAAATGCACACATCCAATTACCCACAAGGCTTTTACATATCGCTGTATGATTTAAGTTCATGTTTTACAGTTAGTTTGACGTCGTACTCTTAGTTTTCACACTATGAGCATGATGTGGTAGCATCACGCACACACCCCTGCCAGAGTTACGCTCGGTCCTTCGGTCTAAGGTAACCCACACTCATGCACATAGTAAAGCCCAGCTGAACCTCCTTCCTCTGGGCTTTACAGCTCGGATTCATACATGTCCCTTGTTGAAAGGAGACTCTTACTGTGTATGGGCCAGGAGCTTGGAAGGTGTGCAACTGGCAATCGTACACATACTAAAACACGAATGAAGACACCGAGCCAGATGACCACAGAGGGTCAGGACCTCGGTTTTACATTAAAAATCCCAGGGTGTTTCTCGAAAAGAGTAGGGGTGTAACCCCGGTGTCCTGGCCTAATTTCCCATTGGCCCTCACCAATCATGGCCTCCTAATAATCCCCCTCTATAAATTGGCTTCATTACTCTGCTCTCCTCCCCACTGAGAGCTGGTGTGTGGGGAGCGTTCTGGCACACTATGGCTGCTGTTGCACCATCCAGGTGGGGCTGCACACTGGTGGTGGTGAAGGGGATCCCCATTATCTGTAAAGCACTTTGAGTGGAGTGTCCAGAAAAGCGCTATATAAGTGTAAGCAATTATTATTATCATCAATAAATAGCAGGTCGGGACACATGGTGGACCACGCAATACGTACTGAGCTTCACACAGCCGGCCGTTTTCTTTTCCCCGACACCGCGAGAGACGGGCGCACGAGCCGGGAGGCTTTTTCATCCTCTCTCCTGTGCTTCCAGTTTGCCTGAAAGGCACCAAGATCCACGGCAAGTGCTTCCTGGCCGTGAACCAGAAGAAGAAGTACCATGCGGCCAGCGAGGACTGCATCTCCAAGGGGGGCACGCTGAGCACGCCCCTCCACGGCGACGAGAACGACTCGCTCTACGACTACATGCGGAGGAGCGTCGGGCCCGAGGCGCAGATCTGGCTGGGCATCAACGACATGGCCAGCGAGGGCACCTGGCTGGACATGACGGGCTCCAGCGTCAAGTACAAGAACTGGGAGACCGAGATCACCACCCAGCCCGACGGGGACCGCGCCCAGAACTGCGCCGTGCTCTCGGGCCCCGCGAACGGGAAGTGGTTCGACGAGAACTGTCGCGCGGAGAAGCCGTTTATCTGCGAGTTCAACATCGTCTGATGCGGTTGAGCTGGCCCTGCTCTCGACTGCAGCCACCTGTGCAGTCCCACCGTTAGTCACTCAAACACTATCCTCTAAAGCTGCGGAATAAGTATGATCCGACAGGTGCTTTGTCTTGGAGTAGCGAACCCACCCCCCTTCATTCCCTGTGTAAAATCGATTGACGAGCGAATTCCAGCTTTCCTCCGTATTTTCATTTGCTTATCTTAGGCTAAACGAATGCCACAGATGCCAGCACCAGCGTTACTGCAACTCTCCAGTCAAAAAAGCTATTCTCCTGTAGAAAACGCTTCACGATCATGAGGGAATCTGTCGATGTGGCATTGCAGACATCATAGAGCTAAAGAAACACTGTCTATAGGCTTTCAACGTCAAAGGTTCTTGTTAGTGGAAAGTTAATTTCAGGTAGCTAGCCTCTTGTTTTTAACAAATGTCTAGCCTGCTACAGTATAACTGAAAATATGAACATTAATCTCTGTTCGAAGATAACTTAATAAAATATATGAAAAAAAAAACTGGAAGCATGCCTCATCCCTCTGCCATAACGAGTGCTCGTATTAGATGATCTGACAGCGTTTCGGGTGATTAAAACTGACTGTAATTGTTTACTCTGGGGACAAAAACAGACGCAATAAGATCACTTACTCTGTCCCCTAAACCCATCCATACTCAACTGGGCTGAACTCTCTCACTAATATCATCTAATTCATACAATGGTTCTTTTCACATTTGCATTTATTTGAACTTTTTTTCAATGCAATTTCACTCAGTTTACCTTTTGTACTGATGATCTAACAGTCTCAATATCTCTTCAGTGACAGTCGGTTTTGAAGGGTGTCTACAGCGTGTGCTAAGTATACAACTGTGCAAGAAGTTTTACAACTTCGATGTGCGATGGTTACCAAACTGCTCTGTTTGACACTAGTTTCACACAGCATCTTTCATATTTGTTATAGATTCATTTATTTATCCAGATATGTAAAAACAATGCATGTAGAATAAGTTAAAGCAGCATACTTTATGAAAATAAAAAGGGACTGCTCTAAATTACATTTTTATATCCATTACAGAGAGCTCTCTCTGAAAAAAATCTGAAAGACAAACGGGAAAAAAAACACATGGAGGAAATATATTTACACAGAAAAAATGTGAAATCCCATCAACACCATGTGTTTTCAAGATACCACTTCTGTTAATCCCAAACAGTCTTGGAGCACAATGCGTAGATTAACAACAAAGAATCAAGAACTGTTTCCAAAACATTTAAAGAACAGCCATTTAAAACTGTTAAAGCCAAGACATTAGGAAACAATTGTGCAATCTTTGTCATTACAGTGATGAGAAAACTGATACAGATATTACATGATCCCAGCTTTCCCTGCTTCCAACATAGAGACACAGGCATTCGGCTAAGGTTGTATTCCAAACGGAGGCAGGTGATCCCAAGTTTTGTTTACCTGTAAGGCTTTCACAGCTGCTCACTGCTGTTGACAGAATGATATAAAAGCTTACGAAGGCACACAAAAAGGACATAAATCTGTAAAACCGAACACACACAATAACCCATTGACATCAACTTGAATTTGCTCTGGCAGTCCAGCTATTGTCTAGCACAGCAGTTGCTAAAAGAGTCAATCCTTCTCTGCTGGACAGCTGACCCCTTCTTTAACTCTCGTGGATTGTGGACGCCAACGACAACCCTCTCCTGACTGACCTCCTCAGCTTAAGGGCTTCAGCCTTTCGCCGCTATTAAAAGAATGGGAAGGCCGCTGACTTGAGACCTGCAGGCCACACCTGTATCGCCTAAAAATAAAAAATGTTTAAATTGGAATTTGACAAAAGTCTCACCTGGACAGATTAAAAAAAAAAAAAAGATTTAATGGCAAAGGACAAGATGCACTCTCAGACCACGGTCTGAGGTCCCTGAATTGATTTCACAGGCTCCCTTTGAGAGTTTAAGGATCGTGGGGCTTACAAACCCTCACGGCCTGTTCCCCTGAGCCCTGCTGCACTGGAATAATAACGTCAGAGGAGAACTTCTTAAATACGACACCTTAAAACACATATTTCGTGTCCCTACGTGGGGAGTTCATGGAGAAACATGCAGGTCTTTAAAATCCAGGTAACAGCCCCTGCTCCAGAGAAGCACAAGGTTATATTTATTATCTTACACATTAACCAAATATCTTTGGTCAATATCCATCCCTTTACCCATCCTACAACAGTGTATACTGTGGGTGAAGGAGACGCATGTCTTGTCAGAATCTTTTACTGTTTCCCAACAGCCAGGCTGTCAAACCTCCTGGTTGCCATTGTGCTTAGCAGTGCTATCCCAACATTCAAATCACGTCTGAATCGAAATCAAGAACATGAAAACATTTTATACAATGCACTCACACTTTACTAGAAAAGGAAAAAAGGAGGAAATCTATGCACATATTATCCATTTTAATTTTTCTTAGTTCTTTACTGAAAATAATTAAAAATAATTATGAAGTACTCTTGATCCAAGGAACAAGCATTTTGTGAACTATGAAGCGGTTTTGATTATATTACAGTAAGAAAATTTAATAATGAGATGTTTATGTGCATTATCATGTCTGCCAAGCTTTAAAAAGAGTGAAATAAAAACAACATCTGTACAGTCGTAATGCTAATAAATCCAAGCCGACCAGTTTCTTCACCACACAGAGACTAGCTGAGCTGTATTCTAGGAAGGAAATCTGTCCGTTGAAAAGCAGATTCATCTCAAAAGCAACTAAGAAAGACCTCTATTAAACATGAAGGCAAATACACATTCAGAGCCACAGAGAGATGACTATAAATACCAAAGAGTAAATAAATAAGAGTACCCCATCTGATAAGGTTGTTTTAACAATTTTAAGCAAGATTTTTCTTTTTCAGGATCAGCTCAGAATTTAGTAACATTTCTTGACACAAGCAGGTGATACCCAACTCACCTGGGCACAGAAATGCCAGCCTCCATGGCAGACCGGTGTTAACCCGGCTTAAACACCCCAGTAACAGATGGCCTGTGTTACAGCAGGGTTGACTGGGACATAACAGCCCACGTTTAAAAAAAAAAAAAAAAAAAGTATTCTCATAGGCATACGATGGACATTCTCAACTCTTGTTGCAGACCTCCGAAACCTTCCCAGAGAACCACAGCAACGAGTCTTCAAATACATTTTGACTAAGAAAACAAAAAGTGGGGTGGTCCTGGTCCCTCCTGGGAGAGCGCCGGGCACGCCTGCTGGAAAGGATCCGACTACATCGATGGCTCTCTCTCCATCTGAGTCTCCGCCTCCTCTTCCGTGTCGGGAAGAGGCAGCGATGTGGGATCTCCGCTGGCCTTGAAGGTGTACAGCTCATTATCCACCATGCGGTGGTCCACGTAGGACAGGTTATCTCCCAGGCCAGTGGCATTAGAGGCACTGGGTGGAGCTTCTTTCGCCGGGCTAATGAAAGGTCTGTAGACGTCCACCTGCAGGTCCAGGTCTTTAAGGTCAGCAGCCAGGGGCACATCTTCCACAGGGCCTTTGAAGGTCCTGTACATGTCCACCGGAGGAGAGGTCACGCTTTGCTCTCGGAGGAGGTGGCCGTACACCATGGTGTCTTCGATGGCCGCGTAGATGTGTGACTCGTTGTCCGCCCTTCGCTTGGGGAACGCGGCGCGCCCGGGGAAGAACGAGTTCCCGTTGGGGTTGTAGATGGACACCTGCTGCACCCCCTCCTTCTGCTTCTTCTTCTTCTTCCTGGGCGGCGAGAGACAGAGATGGCGAGAGCAGAGGAATGGATCATCATGGGGAAGAATAACAGGAAGTCTGGTGCCACTGCATCTAAATAGAAGAAAACTGTCTTCCCATTTTAGTGTAGAATTGTAAGATTTAAAGAAACTGCAACACCAAAATCATGGACTACATTGGGAAAAAAATCAAATGTAATGTATAAAGAAGGTCTTTAGCTTCAATTCAAGCCCTGAACCAGGCCTCTACCGTCTATATTCACAAAGTTATTACAAAATGTTTAATGAACATCCTTCCAGGCCGAAATTGCCTCTGGAGATCAGTGGCACCTGGGACTACTAAAAGGTTAAAACAGGGGCAATACAGGGTAAAAGAAAACCTCCCAGGTTTATGAGGTAATATGACATTTGGATTTTTCTTCCCTGATGACAAATAAAAGTGATTGTTTAAAATGACCAAAAAGGAGCAAACAGAAACAAACCCTGATCTCCAACAGAAGATTTTTATGTAAAAACAAAAAAGTCTAGAATGTGGATTGTACTGACCTTACTATCACACAGATGACAATTAAAACGATTAACGACAGGAACAATAACACACCAACAGCTCCCAGGATTATACTCATGAGAGGTTCTGAGAAGAAAAGAAAGCATGTGAATTAGAGACCACATTCTTCACTCTGGGCACACCCTGAGCAAGGCAGAAAAAACAAATGTGCATGAACACAATTCATTTATAATGTCCAGTTTGCAGGATAATTAAGCTCAAAGTTTATATATTGAAGAAAAGTAAAACTGATATAAAACCTATTTTATAACAGTTAGAATTTTGCTTTTCTCCTCAACCGCCTCCTCAGGGCAATACGCATTGATACACTTTCCCACATTTCCAAATTCATTATTTATTATTCATAACTCACAACTACAAACTACTGTAAAGAAAATGTTTGAAAAAAAAATCTGTGAGCTAAGAATGAAAGATGGGAAACTGATTTCCTTCTTCAGGGGCATCATGATGGTGCAGTGGTGAGTACTACTGCCTCACTGGAGCCCTGGGTTCAAGTCCGTGGCTGGTGTCTGTGTGGAGTTTGCATGTTCTCCCATTCTTCACATGGGTCTCCTACCACAGGCCAAGGACATACTGGTAGGCTAACTGGTTTCTGGGGAAATGGGCCCTGGTGTGTGTGTGTGTGCCCTGTGATGGACTGGCGTCCTGTCCAGGGTGTGTCCGTTCCTGCTCCCCTGTAACCCTGTACTGCATAAAACAGATCAAATGGATGGATGGTATCCTTCTCCATTTACAGCAAAAGGCTGGTAATGTTGAATGAGAATAATTACGCTTTTTCTTCTGCAGTGTGATTTTGCTCTGCATGCTGAAGACGCTGTCCTGGGACTCGGGCTGACAGTTGGTCAGGTTGAACCAGAAGCTCTCGGGCACGCTCAGGTAGGAATCAGCCATCTCGTCTTCCCGGCGGCTGAACATCTCCTCCTCCGCGTCCTGCAATTGCACGTTGATCTCCGTGTGGCTGTTGTAGCAGTGTGGCTGGGAGACATTGAGGAATTCCAGATCCGCGCGATATCGGGGTGGGAGAGACACGATCCAGGACAGCGTTGTCGCCTCCTTCATCCCTTTGGGCCAGTCAGGGGTTGCTAGAAGGGTTGGAACCCCAATTTTGGGGGAGACGGTAAATACATAGGTCTCTGTAGAGAGAAGAGAAGAACATTTTGTGAACAGTTGCATTATGGACACTAGACCCAAAAACATCTGTGCCACATTAATCCTGATCCTGCAATTCTGACATCTCACATTGCATGTGACAAACTGCACTTTTACCACAGAGTGTAACTAAACAAATGATTTTGTAAGTATTGAAAATGTTTTGTTTTTTAAATGCAAAAAGATGACAATTGAATGATAACCTTTTAAAAAATCACTTTATGTCTAGATTATTCTAAAATGCAAACAATTCTGCAAGCTAAATAAACAGTGATTGTTCTCTGCAATACTTTTGACTTGGATTTAGGTTCCTCTTGAATATGAAACAGTACAGAAAGGCCTACAGTATGGTCTTGTGGTCTTGGGAAGTTTAATAATGATCACATAAGGCTAGCACACCCATGGAATAAAGCAGATGTAGGCTAAATTAGATCTACATTTAAATAAATATATAGGTAAGAAAAAATGCATTTTTCTGTTCATTAAATAAATGAACAGAACATGTATGTTGAGCAGTGGAGAATCTATTTACCTGTAGGATCTTTTGGAGTATACTTTTTAAAAGAAATGGTTCTGAGATCGTGGTGGAATAGATATCTTCTCAGAATTACTGCCTTAAATTCCAAAGATACATGGGATTCGTTTCCATTGGAGTCAAGAAAATGTATTTTTGCCTTTCAATAGAAAATGACAGAAGCAAGGCCTTAACGAGCAAGCGCCTCGCTCAGAGCTATGGACTGTGCGACTCACAGCTGGCACGTTACCTGGGAGGTCTTTTGTGAAGGAGACATTGAAGGGGGGCTCCAGTGCTTTGCTGAGGTCATCCTTGCCACTGGCTACCATGGTAACAGAGAGATTAGCATGGACCTGGACCTTCTCGATGGGTCCCTGCTGGCAGAATGTCCCCACGTTTGATCCATCTTCCTCCGTGATGATGTAAAGGAAGTTCCCGTTGCATTCCTGCCCAGGCAGAGACTGCCTCAGGTTTTCCTTGCCTGGTGTCAGTTCCACAGCTCCGTGCTGTGGGGCTATCAGGTGCCAGGTTATGCTTTGTGGGGAGACGGGCAGACAGGACTCAAGTGTGGGCACACTGAGAAGCACCCCTTGAACAGAAGAACAGTCCTTCCAGGCGTGGCATTCTGGAACAGTGACAGGCACAGATTCACTCAAAGTGATTTCTCAGTCTACCGAGATACAGCTGCACTGTAATGAGATATTTGCTACGATCAATTCTACATACAGTAGCAGCCTCTGTTCTGAGAGGGAAACCCTTACAGTTCTAATCCAGTTTTATTTTGCTAGACAGCACACTGTGCTTGAAGTGCTGCCCCACTGGTACATAACATCCAACTTAATCTCTCTGAAACAGATTGCTGAAGAAATCAGGGTTGTGGTTATCAGCATGGACACGTACCACTTAACAGTATCAGATGCAATTTGGTTACTCTATAGATGTAATACATTGTCTTGGAAAATTTGGATAACATTAAAACCTCCAACTAAGGCATGATTTAAAAAGATTTAATGGATCAATCCCAAACACTCACATACAAATATACCGCAAATGTTAAACATGTCTTTTAGTGAGAGGTTTCTTCAGCCAAAGCCACTGAGAGTTTCTATCATATACTGATTTATGAATTTTGGATTACTGAGTAGGTTATGGTGTGGTTAAAGGCAGGCCTAAATCACACTCAAACAATTCTAACGAGAAAGTTACACTATCACAGCACAGACAGCTCGACAGTTGCTGGATACCTATGGATTTGGTGATGGTCAGGGTGAGATCTTGCTTTCCACAGTCCAGGAAGGAAAGGTTGTATTTATTTCCAGACTGCATGGTGATGTTTTGCGTAGGAACCGAGTCAGTTTTCATCTCGCAGTCTGAATTCTGTCCCACCTTGTCAATCTTAACCACCAGGCCTTTCTCTGTCTGCAGGTCCACCATGCACAGCACTAGAATTGGAAACACATGCACACATGTTGAAGTGTTTGCATAACAAAAACACTAAAGCTCATCAAGCCCTTTTTGGATAGATGCAAGATGCAGGACGTTTTTTGCTGTGTCATTGGAAAGATTTTTTAAATCTGCTTACCTTAAACAAAATTAATCAGCACATCTGTTGCTACAGTATTTATTTCATAAACCCCCTTCCAATAAGCCCAGAGATTTCCCTATTATTGTTTGTATTTACAACAGATATTGTATAAACTCACCCAGTACTGTGTAAACCTTTAGATCATTTAAACTCTTTTGCATTTACTTAGCGCATTGCAACGGCAGATACTGTGAAAAGCCTATTTGAATTGCAATGTGAAATTCAATATTCTAAAAGTGCCTGAAAGGCCAAAATAAAGAAGAGAATGAGATCCTTATTCTTGAGGTGATGAAAAAAATCAGGATTCTTCAAATTTAAAAATCTTGTGAGATTGCTGTAGAGAAAATGTAGTCTAACATATAAGACTGGAACCTCTAACTTTGCAGTGGAGTGGAGTAAAGAGACACAGAAAAAACAACACTGACCAAAACTACATACAGTCTGTTGTATGCACAGGCACACACAGATTTCCACAGTTCTTACCAGAATCAATTGTTTTATGGTGTGGACAGCACAGTATGTGCTGTATACATCAGGAAAAAAAAGATTTCCAGTCTTAATTTCACACCCGTAGGAATTGTAAGCTGTTGCTAAAAACGTTTTTGAAATTGTAAACTGTTGCTTTTCTTGTTGTACTTTTGCAAGTTGTAGATTTATCGACTCTGACGGGCAGCCTCTCTGGAACATTAAAACTGAAACGTGTCCTTGCATAAACGATGGCCTTGTTGGCTTCATCAATAATGCATTCAGAAATCGACTGGCCTTCTGTTTGCTGTTTGAACAGCGGGTACTGGTTTCTAAACTATTTGGGAGAATGTGATTCAGGTTTGGAAAATATATATACAGTATATTCCAGCACAAAGCAAGATGGCCGACTGACCTACATAGTCAATGAAACCTTTCCAAAACATCTTCTCAAGAAATGGGCCGGCAAACAACCTCAAACCTGGCAAGCGTCACCCTAAATGAAACCCTAAATGAAAAATCTAGGAAGCAAAAGTTGGCATATGTGGGTAAGAAAGTCAGAATGAAAAATATTCCCTCAGCCACAGAGCTCAATCTGCACTGAGCTTATTTACAGGAAGGGTCATTCAAGGAGCCCCCACCCCACCTCCCACCTATGCATAATTTTAATGAAAGAAAGACACAGAGGAAAATAACCAATCTTAGCTGAAAGCTTGGGTCAGGCGAATGCTCAAATTGTAGTTACTGGCTCAGCTGAATCTGGAAATCTATCCATGGCATCTGCCACAGATACTGTACAGCTTCGCCAGGCATTTTCATTTTCATGGCAACAGCACTGGCATGAAAACAGACTGTAGCTGTTTGCAATTCCAGTTACTAACAGAAAACACAGAGCCCCACTTGTGAAGAGAGGCTTCATTGCTTCTTGGAAGAGTAAGAACTCCTTCTCTCAGTGGTGCCCAAAGTGACGAGGTCCACGGGCTTAGGGAAAGACCCGGTCTGACCCTGTACGAACACTCATTACCTTTCATACATATGAAGTTTTAGACTTTGTGACTTGAAAGCACTGAGATTGCTTTCACTGCTTCATAGGAGTCTTATTATTTGGGATTCTGGCCTCTTAATCAGGAGCTCCTTTTGGGTGAAATAAGATGAACTAGAAGCACAGTGACTTTGCATTGAATCCGGGATTTTCCAATGGGTCGGGTAACATCTAAACTACATTTGTTAAAACACTGCGAGAGACATTTAGATTTGCACAATATCACCTAAGGAGTCCTAACTTTTAGTCATTCTAGTCAGTATGATGACAACCTGCAAACATTCTATGAGAATAAACTGGGTTTAAATGCCTTTACTTCACTGATTGCTTTATGGCTGTAGGCTGCAACATTCAATGACTACCCCTTTGGTATTTAGCAGCTGCCACACATAGTGGCACTCAACCTGAAATATGTCATATTCCCTGAGGAGCTTCACAAGGCAAAAAGCATTCAGAGTTTTTACTTTGTATCGGGTATACAATTCCCCTCATTTAAAAAAAAGCTATTCCAAGCCCAAACTGAAGTTTCATAAATCGTTAGGGTTTCAATAAAATCAGCCTTTGGAAGTAGCCGTCGTCCGAAAAACAATACGGCCAGCTACTTGTATTTTAAAACGTGCTACTGTCCAGGGCTGCTCTCAAAACCTACTCTGTAGATTTTTATTTATTTTTTTAAATGTCCTTCTGGCTTCAGAATGCAACACTTGGATTAAAACTCTAGAATCTTGGGAAAGCCAGAACGAACGCTGCAGTATTTTCTGTGTGTGAAAATATTCAATCATGTGCACTGGTTCTATTAACATCCCACTGCTGTCATTAGGGGCAGGGTAGCTCAGCTGCAGTCCTGGAGGGTCACTGTGTGCAGATGTTCTTGGGCTCTAGAGTGGAGCTGCATGGAATGTCGCATTTTCTGATAGCCGACTCATCATTTAAACCCCGGATCTTATGAGAGTTGACAATATCATGTGACAAAAACAAACATGTGCTATCATGTGCACGTGGCCTACCTGGATGCCTGCTGCTAGTCACAGCAACTTGGAAGTATAGTGAAAGACCCGGACCTGCCTGCTCCATTTCGCAGTTTCGCAGTGACATATTGAAGTTCCCGGGCCTGCTTATGGTCTGTTTATCCCCCAGCCTCCTCCCGAAGGAGGTGTTCGAATGGGCTCTCTGGTACTCCACCATCACCTCCTTCTTCAGGCAGGTCGGCTCAGTGTAGTTGACGAAGCCGACGCTGGAGTTGTGTTTGGCGGGGACGTTGAACTTCCACGTCATTAAATCGTCGTCGGGAAAAGTGCCGGGGTAGTTCGGAGAAAGGAAGCTCTCTGCTGACATGGGGAGGAGATCCACCTCCATTATGGCGAGTCCTAAGAGAGGACACAGAGCTCAACGTCACATGTGCACCACTGTCTCCCACGAAGAGTAAATACCATTACCGCATCACAATTACAATAGAAAGTCGGTGTCTTCTAAAAAAAAAAAAACAGAACTCCACTTTAGACCGGAAGAATGGTGCAGAGCAGTGGTTCCCAACCAGGGGTGACACCATTCCCAGACCTTTTTTTCATTTTAAGGTTTTCCATTAGAATTGAAGAAAGTGTTTCTTGCCTTGCGTGAAACCGGCATGAATTTCACTCTGTGTGGCTGTCCTCCACCAAGTACCCTGGCACCTCCTGCCACAGTTAAGCTGATCTCTTTGCTTGCTGAGACTTTTGTTTTTCAGTCCTTTTATTAAAAAGCACTCTACTACAGTATCATTTACCTTCCATTATGTTAAATGTTTTCTAAACGTCCTGGACAGTGGTGCTGCACATAACAGGCTCTAAAGCTCAAGGACACACCTCGTCATTCGCAAGGAGAAATGCAGCCCTGAGAATGGGAAAACATTTTCTTTCTAGCACATAGTAGTACTGTATGAGTTCTCCCTTCGGGATGTGAATAAAGTACAGGTGTATGCCATACGTGAAGCGAATACTCACTTAAAATAATGTTAAAATACACAAAGACACTTATATAATGAGATCAGTGCGTCAGATGACAACAGTACAGGGTCACGAGGGCCCCGGTAAGAAAAGCCAGTTCTACACTGCTAGCACAGTATGAAATGTGTATTAATTTCTCGTGGTCCTTAACAGGATACAAATAAATAAATGAAACAAACTGAATGAAAAGGCAACAGCAGAGGGAGGGCGAGGGAGGGCTGTGCTGTCAGCCTGTCTTTGATGTCCCACTTCTAAGATGCCACGTAAGGTTGATTCAACATAACACATCATGAGCGATGCATAAAGTATAAACTTTCGCCCTTATTTACAGTTCAGCCATTCCCGTACGCCAGAAGGATGACAGGAGCTGTCTGTGCTTACTTCGTATTGAAGACAGTGTGGAAACCTTGAAGGCATGAAGCTCCACGGTTGTATTGCCCGGGACCCGCAGAGACACTCTAGTTTTGTACAGAACCTGAATTCTGGAAATCATGCCCTTCCTGCAGAACACTCCTATGCTGGTGGGTCCAATCCGAGGGTAGGCCACGACCGTGTACTTGTGAAAGTCTGGGCAGCTCTCGGAAGGAAAGATCTGCCGTAGCCCAATTCCAGAGAAATCCATCTGGAAAGCTCGGCTCCCCGGGGCTTTAAGATCCCAAGAGAAGGTCCGGTTGAAGTCTGGGAAGAACGAACTCTGTATCTGTGAACCATCACTGCTGCAGGAAGTCTCATTGCATTCTGATAGAACAAGGAAACAGCATTAGGGGATAATGGTGAACTGCCATAGACAACGGTAATGATGCTTTCACAATAACTTGTCCAGCGCCACAGAAGCTAAAAAGCCTATAAAAAGAAAGCTACAGTAAGAAAGAACAGGTTTAAGTTTAGTTTGAGAACGTAATGGCTTAAATTAAACACTGAAGGTGCTGAGCAGTGTTTTTGATGATGGGGGGGGGGGGGGACATCCCTCAGTTTATAAAATGCTATCCCCATTCATGAGGCTAAAAAGAACAAAGTAAACCACCTGAACAGATACTTAATAGTGTTACTACAACTGAAGAGTGGACTGGAAAACCCTGAAAATTAAAACATAAACAATCAACAAAGCTCACATGCTTTTGTAAACTCTAAAAGACATTTTCCTACACTGGCTCTTAAAAAAATGCCTGAACGATAAATGCGAAGATATTGATTGCCTACCAATTTCTTTGTTGATGTCAACGGTGAAGAAATCCTGAGGATTTTCACAGGTGAACCGTACAGTCGCGTTGACACTCCTTTTCAGCTCCGCCTTTGAGGCGCACGTCTTCGGGCTGTCCCCAGTACAAACACTGCAGTTGGAGCTCGACGGCAATTTGCTAATGGTGATGACGGTGCTGGCGTCAGGTGTGAGAGCAACCTCTCGTCTTTCTGAAATAAAACATAGGAGAAGCTGGTACAACCTTCAGGACAAAGGCACCATTTAACATTGCCGAAGTAATTAAGAAATCCAGTTATGTACCGTAAATAATGGACCCAAATGATTGCTAAACTTAAAATCTCTCAGATTTCTGCATTATCGTCCTAACAAAGAACATGTGAACTGATTTTATTGAAATACAGCACTAAATGAAAAATGAAGGTAAAGTATTGAATATTCATTCGATATAGACCATTCAAAGCATTTTCATCCATTCATTAGTAACACAGTAGGGCGTGAGTTCGAGAAGATAGAGTATGAGTTTACTTTTAGTCCTAGGCCTGCTAGTGATTTTGAATGCAGGAAGATCCACCAGTTGCTTCCAGGGAAGCTGGAGAGACACTCTAGCCTGGATCAAGTCTTCTGTTTGAGAATCAGAGCTGGTCCTGCAGTATGTCCAGTTCTGTGCCAGTCCACTGGGGAGTTGGGCCAGAACAGTGTATTTGTGAAGGTCAGGGCAGCTCTCAGAAGGCAAGATCTGCCTCATCCCAGTTCCTGAAAAATCCAGCTGGAAAGTTCTCCCTTTCGGACTTCTAACATGCCAGGTGAAGGTCCTGTTGAATTCTGTGAAGAGTGAGCTTTGCATCCAAGCGCCATCACTGCTGCAGGAGATCTCACTGCACTCTAGAAACAGGACAAGATTTTCAAATAGGATATTTACACACATACTGTTCCCTCGTGTCTGCCCAGGGAACGATCGTACCCATCTGTAAATACAACTCTCCTGAGACCCCAGACGTTCTCTGGCCCATGGGGGGTGGCAACATTGCCCCTCGACATTCAATACCTTCCCCCTGAGTGTGCAGATCATTTTCATAAAGCTATTAAGCTATATTCTGCTGATGCACAGGTTAGTTCAGAATTCTGCAGACACTGCAGTACCTGAATACAATTGGATCAGACAAATGTGACTCTCCGGGACCACTGTGATGATCCTCCAACATCAAGGACACAGGCTTTCTCCCACAGAACCAGTATCCTGGTCTCTCTGGACTAGTCTGCTAATTGTAGCAGAACCTCTCCTTCTACAGACAGCTTGTATTGTAGATGAGCAACCACCAATCATGCCGATACCTAATCAACACAATTGCCTCTTTTGTTTTCCTTGCCGTAATTAAAATCATATTTAGATTGTGTAATCATTTAAGACTACTGTTTCAACATATCAATCGCTCACTGTTTAGAATATAAATAACATTCTGTGCTCAATGAGCTATGGATGTGAATCTTGGACAGCGATGTTTTCGCCGTGCACCAGTACAAGATAATGAATCATTAATGGGAATTAAAAATAGATGATGTTTTTGAACAGAAATTCATAAAAATGAGTCTAATTACACAAAACAAAGTGTTAGCTATATTATAAAAAATAACATATGGAGAAAGTGTATTTATTAATACTGATCTAAAAACTAGTATGCAATAAAATCATATTAAAATGGCCATGTTATAAATGTATGCCTTTAATCAAGATTTTAATAAATGACACTGAATTCCCGTAAAAAATGGGTCTCAGAAACAGGTTATTAAGACAGAAGACAGCTTATCCTTTCTTTGTTAGGTTTGATTCCAGTTTAGATCTCCGTCAAACAGTCAGGATCAATCGTTTGGCTTTAAATGTCAGTAACAGAATTTTAGTTTCTGTTAACAAGTCTGTTGTGTAGCTAAAATACAGGACAGTGATGCCAGTTAAAGGGTTATATGGGCTCTTTTTATCCTAGGAGCCTAGCAGCTGCAGTTTGGACAACAGTGTAGGCAAGGAATCATGCTCATCAAATAAAACATTGCATTTGTGAAACCAAGATTTAATAAAAGTATAAAGAACTTCCCCAGCATACGTCAAAGAAACGAATAGTCTAATCTTAGCAATAGGTCTAAGAGTTCCTGTGACCCTGATCAGAATCAAATAAACGCCCCAGTTTTTATCTCATATGTTAAATTAGCGGTCAGGGGCCCAGGTCAAGGTTTTTGTTAAAATCTACCTAAAAAACAATCTATAACTTAAACTGCAGTAATTGCTTTGTACAGGTACAGCACTAAAAGATCTGTCAGTGATAAGCCAAGTATAAAAAAATATGAATTCACAGTCATGCCACTTAGTCCATAAAAAAAAAAAACCCAAGATAACGTATTTGTAAGTGAGTCACTGAATATTCACACAGGGGATTGGCGAATGGAAAAATACACACAGTAGACTAATACACAGTACATGCATCTGTCATCATAGCTTTGAGGCATAATGTGTGATATTCAACGGCTAAGGGGAAAATGAAAATAAAAAACAGCCTCCTCACCGAATTCCTTTTGAAACTCGACAGTGAAGAAATTCTGTGGCTCAGGGCAGCTGAAATGCACCGCCTCGGCCTGCTTCGGTCGGAGGGCCTGGCGGGGGGAGCACGCTCGCTCCGAAGGTGCCGCGCTGCCCAACAGGCAGACACTGCAATCGGGCGATGGGAGAGGGGAGCCGATGAGGATTCTGGCGTCCGACTCGGGGATCACGGTCATCTGTTGGCATCCTGAAACACAACCATTCCAAACACGGGTCTGACCGAGCCGCGAGCTGAACGGCGACCAGCCGGAGGCAGTGCTACTAGGGTCCCTGTTTTAACTGCAAAAATAAAATGGTATATTCCCCGTTTTTATTGTGCATTACTGTTTCTGAAAGGTGCGTCATGAAGTGGAGCTCATTAGAAATCAAAGAGTATGCAGAACATGCCCACACACAGAGAAGAATTCACGCTGGCCTTAGCAACTTTGCAACTGGCCTTCATTAGTTCCTTTTATTATACAGCTTACCTAGAACTAACCACACATTCCCTGTTTGATTTTCTATTGACTAGTTACCAGGAAATCTCTTGCTCGTTTCTCTGAATTGATCACTGTGGGAAAATTCAGAATTTCCCTTCCGAAAGTGGGCTCTCAGATCCTCTTGCTGGTGGAGTGGGAGTAGGAGTTCAAACCTGGCTCCAGGCCCCTCGAAGTGCTCCAACAGCACGCCACAGTTAAGCAACATACCCACTAAAAAAAAAGGCCAGACCACCACTGCTGGGGGTTCAGGTGCCCAGGAGGATCATGGGGAACAACGTCACTGCAAGAGCCTGGGCCTGCACCGTGAGACACCATGCACTCTCCCTCCCCCAGAGGGCACAGCTCTTCACTGCGCTGGGTTTACACACTCTTGAGAGTCTAGGGGGCTGACATCACTCCGAGTCTCATTTCAGCATCACCGTTGCCCAAGAACTGTGGTGCAGCAGCGGGCACCTCCACCTTTGATGTAGCACCTCTTCAGAGTAAGCGATAGGAGCACTTGGAAACACAAATGGAACTCATCCGTATTACAATCTGCCTACAGTCTCCCGTCTTCCCTTCATCAGGGACAGCACACACACACACAAGAACAAAGGAAACATATGGGCCTGTCACAATGATTCACGCATCAGAACACATGCTGTACCGATTACGCAAAACACTTCCTCTATGACTAACCAGGAGCTGATTCTGTGTAGGCTCCTGACCATATTGAAAGCGCACTGAGCTTAACATCTCAGAGAGACCCACAATGAGCACACAACTACTCGTGGTCACAAAAGCAGTTCTGATCGACAGGCAATGGCAGTACAGCAACATCTGGACTCAGAGCTCTGTCTGCATACCTAGACCGGGCTGTTAAAGTTAAAACATTTCACTACACTCACAAATCAAGGCATGTGCCTTAACATCTGCCTATCCCTTACAAATGAAAGGAACTATTTGCTTGCAGCCTTTGTCCAAAACACATCCAAGGTGACTTGTGATGTTTACTAAGAAGGAACAGCAATATAAGTGAGCATCCCTGAAAGAACATCATAACACTTGAGAATTTTTACATCTGTTTGTTGTTTCAGTCTTGAATGATGAATAAATTGACAGTTTTTCATATAACAGGTGGCTTGTGCGATAGGTGTGTTTGTACTACAGTACAGTAAAACAACAGTAAAACAGTTTACTACAGTAAAACAACATTTTCTATCCACACTCCATAAAGAAAAGCTTAAAAAGCTATTTTTATGCAGAGATGTGATTACATGCAAGCTTTTTTCAATGCAAGACAAAACAAAACATCCCAAGCACTCCGCACAGCACTGAAAAAACATTGCCAAATAATCTGGGCATCCAGCACAAGCTAGCTAACCATGCTGTTGAAGATATTTACACTTTTTAACAAGGTAACACAGAGTCTATATTTGTCTCTCACAGCTCTCGTACCAAAACAAAAACAAACTAGCAAATCACTAATGAGGAGAAAAGAAATCAAAGCGATCTACTGTAATTTGAACTGTTTTCCACTGTCGCAAAAGCACATCAAGAGGGATCCATTTTATTACCTTTACTATTGTAAATGGACAACTGCAGGTTCTTCTCTTTAGGTAAATAAGCAGCCGTTCATTTTCAGTATGTTAGTATGAGTCCCATACTTTGGGGTACGTGAAGCAGCATGACAAACCCTTCAGGAAAGCTGTACAATCGGTGGGATTTTCCAAATGAGCACTGTACACCCATTTCACCTGCAGTAAGTTAAACACACCGGCTCCAGAACAAGCGCTCACATAATGAGATACACTTCATTACTGGAACTAAAGATTGATTGACATTATTTACCAAACATTGTATGTTATGTCCACCAGACATTGGCCTTACTGTACAGTATATTGTAAGAAAGAGCAATAAAGTTTACAGTAACCGCTACAGATTTGCAGTTTGTTTTGAAGCTTGTTTTAGATTTCCACATGCGGATGAGTTAATTTAGCACGGCACAATGGTGTTTAGTAACGCAGTGGATCCAGGACTCCCCAGACCTGCCCCTGAAGTGCCAGTGAGTCTGCATGTTTGCCAGGCCTGTTTAAATATCAGCAGCACCACGAGATCAGTGACAAGCGGAAAACCTGTCCAATAAAGGCAGTAATGATTCAGCTCAGAAAGGGTTCAGCTGGGCTGAAAACCTGTGAGCACAGCAGCCCTCCAGCTCCAGTATTGTGGATCCTTGGGTTTAACCTGGGTACAGCCGGGGCTTAAAAACTCTAGACTTGCAATACAAGGCCCATATTCATCACTTTCCATAGCTGCAGGTTCGTAGAATTATTGTGCTGTTCATTTCTGTAATATTGAATATGGTGATACGATAAAACAGTTTCACTACAACTGGGCTATTCTGGGTGTAAACAAAGCTTTACTGAACCACGCTTGAGCCTTCAATTTTTGGACAGTGTGTGACAGTGTGGACAATGAAAAATGAAGAAAGCTTCACCTATCCTACATGTTACTTTCCTAAGCTAAGGCTTGATCTAACACATTGACATTTAGATTCAAGCTAAAGCTCTAAGACTTATATAACCTTTCACCAGCTACAGCAGCTGAATAGAAATGAAGTAGGAGGGAAATGTAGGGCTAATAAGCACAGATACATCCATCAAACTACCACACTTAAAATTTGCGTCGCACACATCCAATATCGATATCCATTATTTATAAAGCTGTCGTTTGTGCTTCCTTTGTATATAACCTGATGAAGGCTTCATTGCCATTAAAAACATCGGCTCACTGCTTCGTCCCTCTCTTTATTGAAAAAGGAAAGGAAACTCCCAACCTGTGCTGGCGTTTCTGTCTTTTCACATTATGCTCACTTGAGCTTCAGCACCCATTAACTGTTTTTGGAGACTGGAGGTTTGTATTTGGCCAGTTGGTGTCATTGTCTGCAATTTGTTATTTGTCAATCACAGAATCAGATCAACCCTCAACTCCAAAAACTGCAGTAGTTGTCCTTCACAAAACTTTTTGATTATTTTAATTTACGTGTCATCTAGATAGGCTTGGACAAGGTTGTTTGTCTTAATTTATAAAACACTGTATTTATGCTTACTTTGTCTACGCACTGATGAATTCTTGGTTGCCACAAATTGATTGTTGACTATTTTCTCCCTGTACCTCTCCTTTTTTGGAAAAATAAAAAGCTTTTTTAAGGTGTGTAGACATTTCCCAGCATCTCCCAATTTGTATGTGTCATCTTGATATGCTTGGATTTGCATAACTACACAAGAGGTTTTTTGAATGTTCCTCCAGTATAATTACGTTATCAACAAATAAATTGTACATTTGACAAATATCCTGATCCAGCAGATTCACAGACATTAGAGAAAAGCAAAGTGATCCACTTATTCGGTGTTGCTACAGAACTCCACAACACACACAGTGTTAGTGCAGAAATTCGGGGATTTTAGTTATTTCAATGTTTTTGTTACACCAAATAAAAAGTTATGGTGTAAATAAAAAACAAATATTAAATCTTTAATTAATCTTTAACGTCATAGTTCATAAGCCATATTTATATAATAGTCCCAGTTTTATCCATACCCTCAGAACTGATATGAAACTAAGTGAAAGGAGTGTCAGGCTATGAGCTGAAGAAAGCAGATCACAAGTGCAGGTCACAAAGGTTGTCCAAAGACCCCTTGTGAGACTTCTTAAGAACCTACTGTATTAAACAATGCCTCTTCAAGATGTGTGTGTCCCCAAAACACTGAATTTTAGGGTATGAAAAAAACTGAACTTTAGACATTAAGAACTATTGGGGTTACACTTTAATTTTGAAGTTAAATCGTTTTTTAGTTGGTTTTGGAGTTCGTCAAGGTATAGAATAAACCTGGAAAATGCTGTATAACACTCAAAATCTAAAAATCTGTAAAAATATAAAAGGTAATCAGAAAAAAATGGTGTGTTTAAACTGAAGTTTGCATTTCTATATGTTAACAAAGGCTACTGATTGATTTTGGATCTGAAATTAGTTACCAAAGCCAAGTGTCACAGGAACCCCAAATCATTGAAAAATAAATTCGATTTTACAATATTCTTACAATTCTGGAAAGAAATTTGCCATTATCTTTAATATTATCTCGTTTTAGTTTAGTAAAAGTTGACGATAGCCTTTCTTCAGCTGTTACACTGAATATACAGAATACTTATTAACAGCTTATTTCCATAGGCAGAGATAACTTTTTTTCAGCAAAAAAAAAACAACAACAACAACAATACAGTATAGCTCAAATGACTGCAAAGATTTCTTAGCAGTGATTAGTGGAATTTGAATAATTCAAGATCTTATGTTCTGGTGAACCATATTCTGGAATATCTATAGCATCCTTCCGTAATAACAGGAGCCTGGATTTAAATAGCTGTTGTACACTGTATCAGAAACAAGTCTGCGGACCACCGCACGACTCGAGTTGGGCTCTCCATCCCCGAGTTAAAAATATGAACGATTCGGAGACACATGACGGTGATGTCCTCTTTCCTCTGAGGCGACTGGAGAGTTGGTTTTTATTTCTGTTTGTATCATTCCTGTTCTGCCCCCAAAGCAAAGGAACGTTGTTGTTACTAATTCTAAATTGTCAACTTCAAAAAAGATACAAAGAACAACACTTCTTTAAAGTTGTTATATATTTATTCTATATAAACGGATATAACTAATTCTTGTCACCTAAGTGATAACATTTGTGTTTGTTCTATCCTTATACCTTGTGGTGACAATGGTATCAATATAAAGATGTTATTGTTGCTGTTAATGAAAATGATGCTTCTTCATACGTATCCGGTCATTTGTAACAAAGCCCTCTTTCTCTTCTGACGTCTGCCATTTATATACAGTATCTTGTACTCACCTGCGATCTGCAATCCCAGCGAGACGAGTATCTCCAGCAGCAAGGCGGCGGAGACTCTTGTAGTTAGTCTCATGATTGCACTACTTCATAGGGATCTTGAAAACAAAATACCCATGCGACGTCCCTTCCTTTCTTGGGCCACACTCCTTTTACAGTTTGCACATTGTCAACAGCCTGTAAAGCTCAAAGTTTTTTTTTCCCTGCTTTGCGTCTTTCTTCCTGGTTTGCCTCACGAAGGAAAATCGATAGAACAGGGCGTGTCCCTTTACCTGTTCAAACACAAAATGCGCTTCGCTCCGGGTTTAGAACAGCTGACTCGGGTTTCATGAACTCAGAAAGTTTAGTAAAAATGACCCGTGTCGCCTTTTCCCTGAAAATGCGATAATCATGCACAGCTTTGTACTACATAAATTTCTCTATTTCATTCTTACAATCTAAAGCTACTGAAAATCCTTTAGAAAACGTGCTGTGATTGGTACCAACGTAACCTTTCATCCCTTATCCACAGGCCGGAAATGTGTACAGTATTTTGGCGTAGGTGTGTGGGGCAGCACGGCGCTACTCAAGTACAGGTAATCACAAGGAAAGGTTGCGTCTTCTAGCTCCTCAACCCATTCAACTTTCCTAAGACGGTCAGCTGTGAGATGCTGTAGTCAGTTGAGACAGGATATTTTTTATTAACTGAACCAAAGAGTCCACATGCGGGAATTAGCTTCATGACGGACGTTTGTGAGGCTCTTTTCCATTATTCTCTGTAATTACTATTTGAGACAGAGGTCCTGTATGTTCTCTGCATGAATTCCAGAAGTATTTTTTTTCAGTCATGAAAGCTTGCATACAATTTTGACAGATTTTTCAAAATACTGATGTCTAAAACTATCTAAAATGTCTAAAAATATTGATAGTACCTTTTCATTATCTTACATACCTTTCTGTTTTAGTTAAAATTCCGGGAGATTTTCTTCAGGCTGTTGTACTGAATATATATGGAAACTTGGTAACAGTTTTTCTCTCATGGGCTGAGAAAATATAGTTCAAAATAATTTGAATTAATTTATAAGTAATTTCAAGAAATGTTCTTTAATTTTGTATCTCCCCATAAATGGAATTTCTCTGGTGCTTTGAATATTTCTAAGTAAGTGTGTGAGTCTCAAGTAAGTTACGGCCTCATGCTCTGTACAAGTTCCTGCGTGTCATCACTGACACCAGCATTCCTTCAGACAGGGTTGCCAGGAGGCTTGGTTTCTGGGCTTGGGAACTTCTTCACATGCTGAAACATGTCCCATCAAAAGCAGTTACCGCAACAGACATCAGATTTAAAAATCTGTAGGAAAGCACACCGAGCATTAAAAGGGACTTATCTCTCGCCACTGCAACACATTTACAAAGTATTCGGACATATCAGGAAAATAAAGCTTTGTTGCAGCAGGTGCACTGATATTTTGCTGAGCACACATGATACGTAAACGTGTGGTGCTGATTAACAGTTGTCATGGGCAGGGAGTAAAATCCAACACAAGCTATATGCTCGCAGTGCACACTTTGCATGTGCGATTCTGTCCCATTCCCCCCCAGAGCATGATCAGGACCCTCCTGCTCACTGAACCCTGAGCCCTAGACGCCACAGTCACCTGCTACTGCATCACCCCTGATGTGACTTGACTGAGCCTCCAACAGACAGTCCCAGAGGCACAAAGGCAGCGTTCTCTTGAAACGAGCGACAGATTGATTCGTTTCTGTTTTTCTCTCTTGATTTTCACCACGCTTTACATTCAGGAGGTCACCTCCTGTCACCTGTGCCCAAGGAACTCAATTAATCAGTGATGAGGTACTTTAGTGTCTATGCACACAGGTGCATCACAGTCAGCCAATTGATCAAAATAATGCTTAAACATTTAATCCATATCCAAAATCTATAAACTTTATTTTTCTAAAAACATACATCAATATACAGTAAGTGATAAATTGCTTTGGATGCTCATTATATTAAGCTTAGTAACACCAGACACTGCTGTGTCTTTATTTCTGTTTCAAATTATCTTCAAGGGAGTCATGAGACCTCCTCTTATTTACAAACATTATTCCATTCTTATATGAACAAATTTGTTTATTACAACCTGCACATTCTCTTATATCCTTGTTTGAACACGGTGAGGTGCTTTGTAATGTAAAACAGTTATTTAACACGCAGTTGCTAAGTGTTTCTGAACTCACCTCATCATTTCAGCAGTGCACTAATGTGAAAGAAATAAAGATCACTGAAGTCACAAACAGGAATCTCCAGGAGAAGGGTTCTTATCGACAGAATGCCCTGATTTGTTCTAAATTATTGTTCAGTTTCTGAGAATCAGTGTAATCAGGCCCCAGATTCAGCCGATAGCTTGTATAATGTGTAGCATTGTTGGCAAGTGACGCTTATATTGCGCTGTCCTTTTGATACTTATACCTCTGCTGTGTGCAGGAAAAATACCAATGCAATGAACGGCTTCTCCTGCCTTTCTTATTTTGCCTTTTTCATCTCATAAAAGTCTATTATATTTCATAATACTGTACCATACTGTATTGTACTATATATCAAAATCCCATACCACAGTGTATTATATATAATACTGTATAATACAATAGCACAGTGTATATTATACCATAATACCTTACTATAGTGTACTTTTAACCTCAAACAAAAACACAGGACAAATGACTCTTTGGTGCAGAAATAAAATCTCTGCAGCATCCTCTTAAACCCTTTCACTATCCGAAAACAATCAACGGAATCTGTATTTAATTAGCATCTGGCGTTTGAACGACTAGCAGTACCATTTCTGTGTTAATAGATTTACTGAGGGCAGATTTACTGAAACAACAAATCAACCCATTGCAGAAAGCGCATCACACTTTCGCATGTGAAGTGCTCAATAACACACACATTCTCCGAGACCCATGCTATTCCTGTGACTGGCATTAGAGCCGAAGAAGCCATCTAAACTTCCCCAGTTTGAGTGAAGAGACGGGAGTTACAGATCTAGAATGCCAGACATATGGTGCCGAGAGAACACTCTGTCATACTGAAGAGATGAAATAAAACTGATGGCGATCATCAGTGGCGGGCCAGAAGGAGGATAGTTTGATTGATCTTCGAAGAATTATTTTTTCCTTTGAATTGTATTTCCATAACATAGATTTAAAAACAGGTAACATCTTTTCTTCCAAAGCGGGAAATGTGGTGTCCATGATTTCTTAAACCTTGACCTCAGGAGCTGATCCATTCATTTGCAATGAGACAGAGCTGAGGATTACACTACAAGCACTCTGTACCTGTTACGGCATTACACACTCAGACATGTTTTGACAGAAAGAAAACCAATGCCCTCAACGTGGACCCTAAATTCATAGAAAACTGTAGTATCATCCACCCACAAGCACCTTTTCTTCTGCATAAAATGACTCAGGTTGATGAAACTCACCAACAGAGCATTTACTCCAATATGGTCTCATAACTATTGAAATGATATGTGCAATACTTTACATTCTTCTCCCTGGAACAGAATTGTGTTCTAGCCACAGTATTCCAAAGGCATCTTGAACATTTTAAATCTTTTCAATTATTTTGTTTGGTACAAAATGGAAATGAGTATCTTGTTACAATATATAATACAATCAACCAGCAATTCAGTGCAATAGTGCTCATTCAAGGGCTGAACATCATCAAGAAGGTCTGTATCATCAACACTGAGAAGTGTAAGTACTAAGCCACTGAGGTGAACTTGGTTATTGTTGCTGTCTACTAGTGAAATCTGTATTTCGGATCAAAAGATTAATATGAAGCAAAAAGTGGAGAATTTGACCTTTTCTGGTTTCTGGATGTTGTTTTGCATGTTTTTATCCATGTTGGAACAGTTTCCTTTGTTGAGAAATCGAGTCTTGATTTCTGCAGAAGAAAAAACAGAGGATCCTCCTCTGAGGGAGAGAAGACAGCGCCAGTCAGTAATACTGACTTTGTTTGTTTTCCCCCACTTCAGGTGCACATTAGAATTGGGACATTCATTTACAGTAACTGTAAAGTTAGTATTTGGTCACACTACATGCAATCATTGCTTCCAGGCTGTGACCAATCGACACCCCCAGACTCTTGATACGTTCCTTTGAGATGCTTTTTCATGTCTTGAGTGCAGCCACTTTCAGTTGTTGCTTGTTTGTGGGGTTTTCTGCTTGTAGTTTCTTCTTCAATAAGTAAAATGCAGCTCAATACAATTCATTCTGTAGCTGCCATCGCCAGTTACTTCATCAGTTACTCTGCCTCCTTCTGTGATATTCTGTGCTGAAGTGCTATTCATTTCAGTGCCCTTGTTTTTGTCATTGTCGTTGTCATGTTGTCACTTCTTCACAATTCCAATTCTTCTAGAATGATTCTTTCATTTCAGTTCAAATGAAGTGCCATTCAGTGTTGCGACATTTGACGTCCCTATGATGAAGCACTCGTTTGATATCAAAACACGCTGTCCTCTTTTGCATTACTGCAAAGCACTGTTTGCTAGGGTAGCATACAGTGTTGCTATCGCAACTCACCAGCCAGTATTGCAACATACAATGTCGCTATTACAACGTGATTGTTATCGTTATGGACTGTCGCTGTCACAACGCACTGATCACTGTCACGACATCTGATGGTGCTATCATGATGCAGTAGTTTGCTTTCCTGATATGTCCTTCACTATTACAACATGTGATGTCTCTCTCACGATATCTGATGCTGCTATTGTGATGTATTGTTTTGGTATCGCAACACACCCTTCACTATCATGACATGCACTGTTGGTATCGTGAAGCAATATCACGACATCCGATGTTGCTATCATGATACACTGGTGTGCTATCGTAATGTGTTATTCGCTACTGTTGTGACATAAAAATAGGCTATCCTGTCACAATTGTTAACTATTGCAACTGTTGCTATTGTGGTGTACTGATCACTATCGTGATATACTGTTTTGCATGTCCACTGTTGCAACGTTCAAGGTCATAATTGCAATGCAGTTGTTTACTATCTGATGTCACTATCACAACACACTGGTCTGCTATTGAGACAGTAATTCCATATGACGCTTGGTCCACATGTGACTAATGAGCCTGTTACAATGTTTTGCTATCGTGACACTCTTTGTCTGCCGCAGTCTCCTGCTCACCGCACTTCCATTGAAGACTTCAACAGACTGAAGAGTTACAGGAAGCAGATGGGTGTGAAAAACTGTGCTGCTGTCCAGCTGCAGTATTTGGAACCAGTGGAAAAGCCCTGCATCTGCTTCTAGATGTACTTGGAAGTTACACTGTGGGACCGGGCTCATTACAGCTAGCTTCTGTTTACAGAGACCGATGAGAACAGCTGCCTACAGATGAGATTTAGAGGTCCATGGGATTTCTGTAAAATGTATAGTCATCTTCTATAAAACACAAGCTCCAGCATAATCCTTTATCTTGGAACCAGTTGACTTGATTGGCCGCTTGAACTTCTGCCTCATGGAATGCAAAGCATGTTGCGATTTCTATGAAACCAATAAGGGACGCTTATTCTGCAACAATGCATCCAGAAAGCAGTTTTTTTCCTGACCAAGGGTGGTGGCAACATGGAGCTTACCCTAGAAACAAAGGGTGTTGTTTATGCAGTGGTTAGCATTGAAGCCTTGAAGTTCAATTGCTGGTGCCCAGGGTTTAATCTCAATTGCAGTTCACTGGCAATAGGCCTCGGGTGCTATCTGCGTGGAGTTTGTATGTTGTTTGCTTGTGTGTGCCCCTCAGTGGACTGGTGCCCTATCCACAGTCTATCTTGTCCTGCACCTGTTGCTTGCTGGGATAGACTCCAGGTCTGGAGGAACAAGCAGTTAGAAAATGGCTGGAATTAACTTTCATAGCGTACGTACAGGCTGACGTTTTCCGGTTTATCTCAATATCTAAAAAAAACATTTTTTTTTGGTCTGAAGAATTTTCTTTCCTCGGATTCATAATGAACTTTGTGGACATTAAAACAGTTCTAGACATCAAAGGAACGTGGATATTTTTTGGTGCATGTAATTGATTTGCTGTGAACAACATACTAATGATAAGAGACGTCTTTCTCGGGGTACTGTAATTCAGGTCATTTCAAAATGATGTGGAATGAGAATGAAGTTGCACTGATGTTTGTTTTTGCACCACAGTGCATGACGGAGTGTGGGAAGTTCTTTTTAAAGTTGTACCACAAAATGATGAGTAGGGTAGCACTTGCTTTTTACCTGGTGCTTTTTTCACGTAGTCGTTGTTACTGGGATGCTTATATGACCTCTAAGTGAAGACTAAAGGAGAAGAGCAGAGAAGACCGGTGAGCCAGTAACAGAGGCAGCTCCCAGCCCACTCCCTGACACTACACCACCGTGCTTCAGAGATGAGGGGAGTGTTAAGGGTCATTTGTCACGATCGTAAGCCACTACTCTTAAGGGCGCTCCGGCTCTTCCTCGTTTGTCCTGATGTTTTGCACCTGCATCTGTTCCAGCCCCTCCCTATAAAAGCCAGAAGCTCCTACCAGTCCGGGCTCGGCTCTGGAAGATGGACGTCCAGAAGCCCGCCTGCCAGCGAGTCCAGTAGTGGCCCGATGGCATCGGCTTCACAACGGCATCCTGACCATCTGGGTCCGGGGCTGGGAGCGCCTGGCCCCATTCCCCCTTTTCATCTCCCCATCCCTGCACCAGATCCCACTCCGGCTTTTAAACTCTGTCTTGTCTGTCATGGATGGATTACCCGGCTCTGGACTTTTACTCACCCTGGATTTTCCTACGGACTCCCTACCGACACGCCCCCCTGTTCTTCTTCCAGCCCCGATCCCAGTCTTCTTTCCCGTGTTTGTTTCACTCCCTTCCGGATTCTGCCATCTGCACAGGGTGCTGAAAGGCGCTTCGTGACACATTTGCAGTTCCCTCCCCAGCTTCTGCCTTTTCACCTTGATAACGGTTTACTTTGGTCCTGCCTGTCTGTAGATCTCTGTTGCTGAACGCCTGTGCCTTTCCCAATCTGGCCTTGGCGTAGCTGGTGCGGATGAGAAGTGGGCTGTGTTTTGCAGGGCAGTGCACAGTGAACTAAGGCACCTTCACACCTGCTCTGTTATACTGGTGGGGTTCTCTGAGCCCCCAGACCATTTACAGGGATTAAGGAACACACAGCACTGAGGCACCAATCCCAGATAACGACTTCGGGTCACTGCTCCTCTCACCGCTGCCTGCCAGTCATCTCAAATATGAGGCTGAAAAAAGTGGCGACATTTTTTAAATCGTAAGCATTGAAGCAGTGAAGCACAGACCTTCATTTCCCTAAAGCTGCATCCTTCAGAACACTGAAGCTTAAAGGATATTGTTTGCTCCAAACTCATGTGTGCTGGAATCTTTGTCACATTGGTTCATATTTATGAATTAATTACATCAATTTATGTAGAGAGAACTTAATGGAAATGGTACCCATTGAGTGAACATGCACATAGGATAACACAAAAAGGGGGATTACTGTGCTAACACAATTAAATCCAATTAAAATGTATTATATGACATTTATTTTGCTGATTTGCAGCATCTTAAACCGAATATTAGGATAAACGAGTTAAAATAATACACAGCAGAACTTTCCATGTATCATTTTCTCTAATATTGTACTGAGTACATTTGTTTCCATAACAGGAAGAAGATTATGGTAGAAAGAGATTACGATTAAAATAAATCCTCTTTCCTGTATTTTTTCTTCTACTACAGTTTCATTGTATATTATATACAATTGTTATATAGTTATATTAAGGTACATTAACAGTTACGAAGATGTTTGGAGAACGTATTACATTAAAAGATCATGCATGAAACCAAAATGAATAATGTTATATACGATGAAGAGGTTGTGATGGAAAGGTCACAAGGAAGGAAGACACAATCTATTATGTACAAGAGGGAATAATATCCCTTCCCAATTAATATTTCATATTATTGATCTACTTAGATCTCACACCTGAAGTCCGTTAACCCTGCAAACTGCTCTGAGATTGTTTGCAATAATACAGTACAGTGTGCAGATTTATGAGTGCGCTTATGTTTCTGTCTTTGTTAAGTGTTTCTGAAATTATGAATTGCAGGGCATAGGAACGTGTATTCATGCCATCTGGAAACTGCTTTTCAATTTCTAGATTGTTGTCGGACATGTTGAAGAATAGTTCCGAATCATGTAATAGCATAAACACTGCAGAGTTTAAGTCCATCATACCATTCCACTTAGAAAACTGTTTCATTTTCACAATTTCATTTTCCCGGACGACAAGGACCCCGAACGCTGTGTGTCAAGAAATGCCGGGATTGCGCTTTGAGTTTTCTGTAAATGAGGTGTCTTTAGATTTCCTGTCTGGGTGTGTAATTGGTAAATATATTCTTTGTTTGCAATGCTAAATAAATAGCAATTATTGAGCTGTTCTAATGTGCCCTCTGGCTACATGCACAGTGCATACACTTTGTTGTATTTAAACAACGATCTCACATTTCAAATAAATGATCATCATAACGCAATTTTTGATACGATTGAAAGTATTTATTGTGTTTCTGAATGTTGGTACATAGCAGTTCGTGGTTATTCCCATGGTTATATCCGGGCGAGTACATCTTTGAAACAGCACACACGGCTACCGTTACTGTGAAAAGACTAACGCTGTTACTGAATGTTGACACGGAATACGGACAGGTATGAGGTATGGACTTTCTTCAGCATTAGGTCATGAACTGTATCTTTAAGAAATACATACATATTGCAGCTTCAAATATTGGTTGGTCCTAACTAGATTTCTGTGAAGTACCCATTGTTCACAGTACGATATTTTGTTTTAAAAATACCTAGAATCAGTACTGAATATGCCAGCAAACCTGTTTGTTGCAAATTAAATCTCAACGTTGGAAATCTATCTCAACGATTTCCATAAATCTGTTAACAAACATGGAAAACATTTTATTCATTCTTCTGGTGCTATTTTGAAGAGAAATTGGCAAACGTTTTTGACTTTACTGTAGTGTTTGAATGCTCCGGAAAGAGATATGAATGGAAGTACTTTTCTTTCCATGTTTTGCAAAATAAATAATATCGTGATGCAGGCTATAAGAACAATTTGTGGAGATATTTTTACAAATATACAGTATTACTAAAATCGGTCTGAACACCCTATGATTAAATAATTTTGTTCTTAGTTAATTTTACTCACTAAGCATATTAGAAGGTTTTGACTTCACGAATTCCTCTTAATAATTCAAAAAACGTATTATGTATAAAAAGAGAAGATTACAAATATGCATATACAACGTATATTAAATTCTATTCTGTATTATTTTCGCACATGAAATACATAGAAATACGTTTGTGATGCCCGGTCTATTTCTACGATATTTGGAATGTTATAAATTAATACATTCGAATTAATAAGATATAATAAGATAGTAAGATACAGGTAGACCATATCTGGGTCTTATTTGAAATGGTTATGTTACTCTACGCACTCATTTGCCCGAACAATGTTTATTTAATGCACATTTTCTTCTACTTGAAATGTTTCATATTAAACATCTGCAAACCATTCTGTTTAAAACCTTACGCAACACATGTTGTCGATCGGTACGAAACAATATGCTGTATATAAAGCATTAGGCTACAAAATTAGAAACATTGCACTCTTAAAAAAACGAATAGCCCTGGATACTTGCTAAAAGCAAATGAATGAACTTATAAAATAATTTCTGCCATCATAAAAATATTCAAGTCGGAGTAGCAAGGCCTTTACAGTCTCTAATACAAACATCACTGTGTTTTAATCGAGAATCGATCAGTTCAAACTTAAAAACAAAATCGAACCCCGTGCGCGCCTTATCTCTGTCTCCTCTGCTCCATGCCATTGGGAAGGAAGCCTGCAATAATGGGCACTGGCCAGATGAGGGCAGCAACGCTCCACACAATGATCACCAAAGTCATGAAACAGGCCACCAAAGTTGACTCGATGGGCTTGCGGTTCAGTCTCCAGCTGTGGTCGCCTTTCAGCTCGTCCAGGCCGAAGTCCAGGCAGCAGAAGCCCAGGGGCTCCCCGGCCTGCAGCGGGTACGACCTGGCCTGCCCGAACCGCCGGCTCCGGGAGAGCCCGCAGCCCACGCACAGCCTGAACTCCTGCTGGCCGCCCGCGACGCCCAGGTGCTCGATGACAACAGGTGAGACCGCCCGGCTGAAGGCCGCGGAGAAGAACGCCCGGCCGTGGTTGTTGGTGGTGTAGATGAGCACATCGCACTGGAAGCCCAGGTGCCTGTCCCAGCGGGCCACCAGCGAGGTGGGCATGAGCCTTTGCACGCTGATGTTGCACAGGGGCTGGAGCGCCGTCTCGGAGGACGCTTCGCTGCCCTCCACGGATCTCTTGGAGTACCTGACGTCCACCTCCAGGTTCGCCAGGAAGCGGGTGGAGGAGTTGATCGGGGGCAGCAGGAGGTCCTCGTCGCTCCAGCAGCGGCACCGTCGGAGGAGCCCGGCAGCGGCGGTCAGGGCCAGCACCAGAAGCAGCGACTTGCTTAGCATGGCACCGTGGGTGCTCCTCCTGCTGCGCGCATGGTTTCCACCCCAACGGCGGCCAGGGCGAGCGGAGCAGCGGGACGGCGAGGGCGCACCGAGGCTGCGAGCACGGCCACTCCCGTCGCGTTCGAGGAGTTCAGGATCTCCCTACGGTGATCCGCTTAAAATGGAAACGTCATTTGCCTGTAACTCCTGTAAACCCGTTTCCCTTTTCTCTCTCTCTCGCCTCTGGAATTAACTGACCGCTAACCAGGGTGTGCGCCCTCCCCCCTTTTTTGCGCTCGAAATTACTGTACAAAATGCAACAAGCTCAACTAAAGCGGACTTTCAACGCCCGACACCAACGAAGGCAAACGAAGCAGCAGCATCAGAAAGGCGCTGTCGCGCTATTTACGAGCTACCTGCCCCAGCGAGCGCGCCGCGTCACACCCCGGCGAGCGGCCAGATGTTCTGAGGCTGGGAGTTACCCCCCGGACTGTGGTAGGTTATGTAACAGCCGTGGAGCAGTGCTCGCCGGCGATACGAGAAAGGCGACAGCGTGAGCCTTCTGTCCACGCCAAGTTTTCAAATGGCCAAAGACAAATGAAGGTTTTGCACGTTCATAAAAAAAAGGGGGCGCATCATAATGCATCCGTTTTTTTTAAAAAAGGATATTTTGCTCGGCGCTGAATCAGAAGATAAATAAGAGAACTGAAGACAGTTCCATACAAAGCTAGAATGTCATCAAATATGTTGCTTAATCAATATAAAATTGTGTTTTGCATTTCGCTTTTACATTGCCTGCCTGCTGTACATTTACCTTGTGCGTTTCACTTGAACTATTTCGCTGGATAGTAGTTTCGACTACGGCTGATTTCATTACAGTGTTTATTTTACTACACTGACAAAACAGACTGCATCGTACAGATAAATAAGGAGACGAAACGCATGGTAAAAGCTCTACTAATTTAATTGAAATGTGCACAATAATCGTTATACACTTTGTGTGGCGTAATGTTTGATCCCCCAGTCTGATCATCTTAATGGGATATGGAAGCGTTTTGTATCGCTGAACAACACGCATTTAAACCGGGACTTCTCCCTCATAACAATTAAGATGTCGTTTCCCGTTTCATCCCTGCCGTTTTAAAACCTTTTAATTGAATTCACGCTCAGTTCAGTACAATTTTTATTCGTAAAAAAAAAAAGTTTAACTTTAGTAAATTAAATTCGGGTCTTATTTGTTCTTATTTGATATAACTCACTGTTAGGTTCTGTTTGGGACATTTGCGTACCAGAATTTCAGGTGTGAAGAAGAAGGCTCTATAACCGAAGAGGTGTGTTTCTTCTCTCCGCTTTTCAGCGTGGAATCAGCCCGATCCTCTTCCCCTGACGCCTAGGCGCTCTGACGCATCTCCCGGTTTACACTGCTGGTTTTTCTACCACCTGCACCAGCCGAGGTGGAGAAATGAATCACAGCAACGGAGCCGGGCTGAGGGCGTGGTGCTCAGTGGTCAGCACAGCACAGTAACATCAACATCCACATCTTACAGGGGCATAAAAACACACTCACACCCAATTTACAATTCACACTCAATTCTTGCCCCGGTATAAGAAACAGGGTGCTGTCTGCGTGGAGTTCGCATGTTCTCCCCTGGTTCGCCTGGGTTTCAACCATGCTGGTGGGTTAATTGGCTTCTGGGCAGCCAGCCCTGGGTCTGTGTCTGTCCTGTTGCTTCCCTGTGACCCTGAGCTGAGAGAAGTGGTTAGAAAACAGATGTGGTTGGAACTTGGGCTGAACTGAACGAGGGACAGAGTAGGACAGAAGGACAGAGTAGGACAGAGAGAGCAAGACAGACAGAGGAAGTGTGCCTCCGGAGTACTCTGAAGATTGGGCACGTGGACGTCAAGACCCCTGTCAGGGCTCGTCAGAGTTCCCAGGAGGTCCAGCCTGTGAAAGGAACAGGTTTGAGTGCAGCTGAACTCTTTGATCTAGATGCTGTGATCTGGGTCTTGTCCACCCCTCAGTGAATAAAATACAATTGGCACACACACACACACAATTCGTTGTAGCAAGATAAGCCTAATGTTCTTCATCCTGAGTGTTTCCCTGCATCCCTACATGTTCACTTGTGCTCTTTTGGACTTCCTTCCTAGTCGAACTGCTGTAGTTCTCCTCGGTATTTTTAAATGTACCAGGGAGTGTCTCCATAAGCATTTATTTGATTGAAGTGACACAGATTCAATTATTTGAGAAGTGCATGAGGTTATTTTAGTTTGCTTCACTTTTGTCTTTTTTTCTAAAGCACTAGTGCACTTTGTGACAGTCAAAAAGAATGGGGACACCTAATGGCATTACAGAGAGAGAGAATTATCTCTCTTGGCTTTAAATTCAATATTTCTACACTGATACGTCCATGCATTCTGTTGACATTTTTATGTGAGACGGATGTTATCTTGCTATTTATGTAAACGCGTGTGATGTGATGCCTGCTGAACGAAAGATTATTTGTTTACAGGCCAGGTTAATGATTCCTGTGTTTGCTGTAATTGTTCTCATGGCTCTGTTGAAGTTTCCTCAGGTCAGCATGTTGAAGTACTGTAGGCATTGCTGATGAGAATTAAAATTCATTTAAAAGTCAGACCTTAAGACTTCAACCTACTCATTAATGTCCTTGTGTAAAATGTTTTAATAGCAGACATTAATCACCCCTAAAAGATTGTTTTCAGAAGACCATTCTGATAAGCACTAACGTCTGGCGTGGAATGGTGGACTTTAAAGTTTAATGGTTTATATTCTATCTTTAGACTTCACTTCTTATTCGTCCAGCTTCACACTCTGGCTCACTTCCAGCCAGTGGTTTCTTTTTCAATTGAAATCAAGAAACAAGTTCTGGAAACTGAAAATAATCTGTTAGTGTGTAATACAAGAGCTCACGGACTCTGTATAATTATTACAACTTGCCTTTCTTTAATTCAATAAACAGTACTAACATTTCTCATGTAAGCACTTTTTTATTTTGCAAATATGGCCACATTTTGGTCCCACAAAGCATTTATTATACATCATGAGCATCAAATATGGGAACCCTTTCCCTTAGGCTGGCCGTTGTCTTTGATATATTAACTTTCTGGGTGCAGCAGTTAAATTCATGGATCACTTAAGGCAAAAGCTAAGCAGATATTCACTGTAGTAGTATAAATTATTGTATCTGGCCTCTGTAGAACTGTACGTTGTAGAGCTCTCCTAGTGCTCTACAATTGTTAAAGATGTGTAACAGACTTGATAAAACTACATTTTGATAGTTCTTCAATAGCAAATGTACTGCTTAAACGTTAGAGGATTTCTATAGAACAGTAAAGCTCACGTTTCAACTGTCAGGTTTAAGAACACAAGACGGTTACAATGAGAGGAGCCCATGAGGACCATCTTGCTTGTGTGGTTGCGTAAATGGCCTGAAACCTACTTTATATGTATTAACTTGTTAGATTTGATTTGCCAGGTGTCCCCTCGGTGTGTGATCTGTGAGTCGAATTCAACAAGTTTACCGGTATAATGACCTCCGTATTCCATCTAGCAGGTTCTGGATTATTGTTTGCTTAGGAAGAGCAATGATACCACATAACTGCTCCCTGTTGTATTTAGTAGTTCAGGCAGCTCATGGTGACTCATGATGGCCTCAAAGTGAAGACCGTCCTATTCAGCTCTTGCAAGAAAGAAAAACACCCCAGACTCCCCAAAGCACTATGTTTTAAATACCACACAAGGCCTAATTACACTCCTGCGAGAATGTGAACTTCTAAACTCTTCACCAAGCACCCTACAGTTAAGCCAGGCGCCCCTAGTGTGGCTATTTACAAGGACTAAGACTCCATACGAGGTGGAGCAGTGGTCAGCATTGTTGCCTCTCTGCCTTGGGGCCTGGGTTCAGTCCCTGACCCGCTGTCCTGTCTGTGTGGACTTTTTATGTTCTGCCTGTGCTTGTGTGGGTTTCCTCCAGGTCCTCTGGTTTCTCCCCACAGTCCAAAAGCATCCCCAGCATCTCAAGAGCACACTAGATATTCACCCGGACCAGAGCCGCCCAGCCCCAGTTACTGTCTGAGATCAAGCCTGTCTTTTAAATTTCACTGTAATGGCCAGGAAGCCAGTACTCTGGGATTATCCACTTGTGATATTCCCACATCTAATAAAGAAGAAGAACACAATTTTCAGAATAAGACTTATGGGGATTCAATGCCATATTCTGTATTGCAGATCATTTAGCGCCTCCATTAAGGTGCAAATGTCATGTTTCATTTCTTCTCTCTTTTTTTTTACCTCTTTTAAATCTGTTACTTCAGCTTTTTCTCAAATTTGTGAAGGCGGAGATGGGCATTCAAACACGTATCCACAGTGGAGTGCCCTCAGCCTGTAATTGTGCGTGTCATTCATATTTGCTTTATCCTTACAAGATACGACACGATAATTCAAAAAGCATAACAATGGGCTGGATAAAGAATTTGTGTCATTTTTGGATTTACAGTACCTGATTAAAGCACATTTTGTCATTTAGTATGCCTTTGTCAAGCTGGATGCTTTCTAAATACAACATAAGCTGAGCCACTAATACCGATGATAATGACTTGCGCTTGTGGTTAATATCTGAAGAGAAATCTCTTCGATGAATCAGGCCTGTGCTTTTCTTTGACTGTCACTTTAAATCAAATTATAACCAAACAGTGGAGGGCTACTGTGTTACAAAGGCGACACATACAATTATTTCCCGCTAAGGCAGGAAACCTGTTCAGAGCCCACTTCTGTTGAGTAATAATAATGAAATACTCTGACAGGTCATTCTGGTGGCAGTCTGCCAGATTAAAAACAGGAAGAACAAGATACAAAGAATAAATGGGAATCCTGGAAGATATGCGGAAACAACTGATTATCTGAGCTGCGCGGTAACCTTCATCGACCTTTAACTTCTTACAGAGTTTAACTTTCGTTGTTTTGTTTTATCAGCGGGTGGACTGTTTTTAAATTCCATGAAGCTGGGAAACAGAAGCGCTCAGTCCAGACTGACGTCAGGGGATGCCCGTAAATTGGGAGAGCCGGAATTTCTAGAGATGGGAGCGGAATTAAATTCCAAGTAAAATACTCGGAACACGTGTGTGTTTTGTCAGGTGAAGCAATAGCAGAATCACTGTGCTATCTCCCGTTTCGTTCTCTGTGTGAGGATACTGTCGTGAAGCGTTTTTCAGGACCCTCTGCAGACGGCAGAATCCGGAAGGGAGTGAGACAAACACGGGAAAGAAGACTGGGATCGGGGCTGGAAGAAGAACAGGGGGGCGTGTGGATGGTGCGCTGGGGGTCGGGGGGGCGTGGTCCATGCGACAGTCCTAAGGGAGTCTGTAGATCCTGAGTGGGAGCAAAAGTCCGGAGCCGGGTAATCCATCCAAAATAGACAAGACACAGTTTAAAAACCGGAGTGGGATCTGGTGAAGGGTCGGGGGAATAAAAAGGGGGAATGGGGCCGGGCACTCCCAGCCCCGGACCCAGATGGTCAGGACGCCGTTGTGAAGCCGATGCCATCGGGCCACTACTGGACTCGCTGGCAGGCGGGCTTCTGGACGTCCATCTTCCAGAGCTGAGCCCGGACTGGTAGGAGCTTCTGGCTTTTATAGGGAGGGGCTGGATAGGAGTCAGGCGAAGGAAAATCAGGCAAAACGGGAAAGAGCTGGAGCGTCCTTAAGAGGAGGGACTTACGATCGTGACAGATACTGACGGTGCTCCTGATGTACTCATCAGTTACTCTTAGGCAACTACTGGTGTAAAAGAGGGCTCTGAGATGTGAATTTGATTAATTGCATGTAGTAAACAGCGTGCCTGGAGCACAACCCTGAAGGATCCAGCATCTCATTCAGAAACAGTGGTGCTCTTTTCTCCTGTTTATTTAAATATCCATGACATTTTTCTTCACAGAGTGGAAGAGATTCAGACAACATACATTTGGCACAAATCAGAAGAATGTTACGGAATTCATCTCTGCCAGCCAAAAAGTGTGCCTGCCCGTTTTCTTTCTCTCGTCGAACCCCTCTGGGGGAAACAGGTTTGAGTGAGTAAGTCCTGTGCTCCTGAGGATCGAAACCATTCTATTTGAACACAAATTGTCAGGCGTTGTTGCCTCTGACACCAGTCCGACAGTTCAGCTGACACCATGCAAACCCAAAACCTTTAGGAACAGTTGGCTTTGTTGATTTTCCCCTGTGTGCTTGCAAAACCACGAGACACCTGTATGAATCGTTATTTGTAACAGCTAAATGGTTTAATGTGCCAAGGCTTTATTGCCTAATTCCTTTGAAGTACAGGGCTTTTCTCATCAGTTAGTGATGTAGGTAGCCTTTGGCCTTAATTTACACCTGAAAGCATTTCTGTCCTCTCTCCACAAATGTTTATCAAAGCCGCATTATGCAGTGCCAGTATTGTTCCCTAAACCACGCAAACCCAAGTACTGTCCCTCCAAATATCAAATACATTTGAAACAATGCACTTTGCAGTCAGAAGAGATATGTAAATTTTCCCCATTTATTTTTAATGCTATCAAATGCAATTTGCTGAGCTCTAACAAATGCAAATGGTCAGAAGATAAAAGTCTGCTTTTTTTAAGAAGGGGGCTTAAAAGATTCATTTTCTGTTTTTACTAAAAAGGTTTATGAGTAGTCTGGAGTTAATTTCCTCTGACTTTCCTATAATTATATGCTCAGTCCATGAACTCTTGATAGCTTAAGTCATTTCACATTCCATGCTTTTTTTCTTATGAATCTAATGCTTTTCCTTTTTAGTGTTTCCTTCCAAGTTGGTAAGATATCAGCATTGGAAAAAGAAGTTTAAGGATAATTCTTTGTTTTTTTAAAAAATAAAAGTATCTCAAAAAAATCTGTAACTTCAACAAGTAGAAATAAAACAGTTGTACTCTGGCCACCAAAAATGTAGAAAGAAAATTATTGTTGAAATGCAACTTAACACTATGGGTATTGTCATTCTTTTGCTATTTTCAATGATACTTGCAATGACAAACAGCAGAAAATATTAACTGGGGAAAAAAGTACAAAAAGATCTGTAGTCCAGTCTTGTCTTCTTCAAAAGAAGAAATTCCTTGTGGTTTACAAACTGAAACGAAAGCACTACTTCACAGATTTAAGGCCAAAATCACAAGTATGATGTCTACACAATCCAAAAAAACTGTTTACAAATCGTGGTTGCAGTGGAGAAAATTAAATCAGTGTGATGAGAATGACTACTGTGATGATGATGGTGCTAAGGTACCTAATCCACACCCAGCCCACGACATCAACACCATCAACACCAATACACTACCACTGTGCTAAAAAACAGTCTAGTTAACATCGCCAGCTGCCATATCACCCTGCAGCTCACAACTGGCAGCCCACTGCAACTCAGCAGTGTGAGTCTGGCCAGTACCTGGATGGGAGACCCCTGGGATAAAGTAAGGTTTCTGCTGGAAGAGGTGTTAGAGGGACCAGTAGGGGGCATCTTAATCCTCCAGTATAGTGACAGGTACACTATACTGTAAAAAGGCGCTGCCCTTTGGATGAGAAGTAGAAACTGAGGTCCTGATGCTCTGTGGTCATTAAAAATCCCAGGGCATTTCTCTAAAACAGTAGGCCAATCATGGCCTCCAAATAATCCCCATTTATTAATTGTGTTCATCACTGTTCTCCCCACTGAGAGCTGGTGTGTGGGGAGTGTTCTGGTGCACTATGGCCGCCATCGCATCATCCAGGTGGGGCTGCACACTGGTGGTGGAGGGGATCCCCATTACCTGTGAAGTGCTTTGAGTGGAGCGTCCAAAAAAGCACTATATAAGTGTTAGGAATTATTTATTAATCGTTATTATTTACATGGTGGCGGATAGAGGTTTAGGGCAGCACACAGCATATTAAACATATCAGTCCGTCTTTTTTGTACGGAGAAAAATTGCTGTAGAATTGGTTATACAACACTGTGTCTTGTGTTGAAGCATGTCTAACACCATCTGAATATGAAATATGTCTGTTTTGCAGCTATAAGATTGACAGTGGAAGCTCCCTGGAGTTTCAGCTCCTTTGGCGAAGGGATTAAAAGCTACAGTATCTCTGGTTTTGGTGATCTAGCTGAAGGCAGGAGGGACCTTCGCTCTTTCTCATGCACAGTGAGAGGGGAGAGGCTGTGTGTTCTGTTCTAAGAAACTATCAAGAAAAAGCAGAGTGCTAATTAATAATAATAATTAACGAGGGGCCCAGCCAGAGTGATCAGCAGGGAGTTGAAAACAGTATGGCAGATGTATACTGAACTGTAGGACATTTCTTACAGTACAAAAATACTCTTCCGATATCCAGCCAGGCTGCTGTTTCACCTTTTTAATAGGACAGTGCATGGAAAAGCACTCTAGCATGAATTAATCACATTAATGGTGAATGTGGATGCTGATATAAGTATTTATAGTCCATTGAAATATGCTTAAACTATTAATTTGATGAAAACAGAGATCTCATCAATTTGTACACTCTTTCCAATAAAAAGGTGTTTAAGAAGATGAAAAAGTAAAAATAATATTAACCTTATTTGTCAGTTGTAGGGATATCAGCAGGTTTTCCAGGTGAATTAAGATTCTGTGAGTACTGTAAGTCTGTCGGATTTTTATAGTGTCTAGCACCCTCCAACCAAAAAACAGTAACATTGAATGATTTTTCTCAAGGGTACAAAAAGTATTTTATATGGAATTATTGACAATTAAACATTTAATTGTCTGATTAATAACAGCTTAACTGAGTGGGTGTTGTGCTTCAATTTTCTGGTTTTGATACAATTTTTAAAATGCATTACACTATCACTGAAACCTCCTTTATTACCATTTTACTGTATCTAATTCAGTTTGTGATATTGATATCTACTGTATGTTCTTTTGCAGGAACTGGCTAAATATCCTTTAAGTTACATTTGTGCAGAAATTAAGTCACAGTAAGATATTTCAACTAGAAAGCATTCACAAAGCCTTTCCCTAAACAAAGGCAATGCTTAAATGTTTTGGCATTGTACCAGAGCAGGCTTTTGCCAGATCATTCAGGGCCTTGTTGATCTGTACTGCTATGCTCTTAAAATAAAGAAGATTATAATGAAACAAAATCATACTGCTCTCTGCAGAAAGATGATGTTCACTACAGAATATTCAACTCTGTGCTGAAATGAGAAACAGAATTTATCATAATGGTAAAATGTTAAAACCTTCTTTGTAATAATCACATGCAGAGACAGTGCGACACTTGTGATTTTCATTGTCTTTCCCTGCACTGTATGTCATGCCGTGGGGTGTCTGAGGTCTTAAGGCCAGTAAATTCTGATACAGGCTTTGGAACCACCAATTTTAGAGAGAATAGTTTGCTACAAAAAAGCAAATTTCTTAATGGACTTGCATATACAGTAGTCATTTGCAACTTCACAGAAATTTTATAATAATAAAATTTTATAATAATAAACTTTATTTTATATACTTAAAGGTGGCTTCTCAAAGCACTTATTGGCTTTAATAATCAAATCCAATATTGTGGTTAGCATCATAATGATTTATTCAGATGATGCAATGCACAAGTTCAGCCTCAATTTATTCAAAGCAAATGAGAATTTGTCCATGAAAGAAATGTTTAATGTTTTTATTAGTGGCACGTGGTTTTATGAAGAGGTTAAGTTGCGGTGTTATAATTTCCTGTAATAACTGTGGGATCTGTTCCAAGTTAAGATGTTTAAATAATAAAAAGACCGGACAACTAGGGTTTTTTAGATCTTATTAAAATAATACGCATTACAAAGGTTTTATAACATTAATAGAGTTTAGTTCTCCTGGAGTTGTATTACAGTTTAGTTATCTAGTAACCTTAGTGATAATCAAACCTGTTTGCCAATATTCACTTTCTACATTAATTAAAGAAATCATAAGTGTGGTGTTACAAACTCCACTGACATAAAGGTTATGTGTCATAATGTTTCATGAGCTCAGTTGTAGTGTTTCTTGTGCTTTCTGTTCCACACAGCACATCGACTCTGACACATGAAATTGAGAACAATTCAGCTTGGGGAGAGGAGGGGGTTGCCAAGGTAACAAGGACGAAGTGAAATGCTGCAGTAACTAGCAGCTATTGCAAAGTTAAGAGTAACGCTTGTAGAAATAAGGTTTAGATGTGATTAAAGGCACGGTGCATGAAAATAAATGCATAATGAAATGCATCTACAAAAATAATTTAACTTCTATAGATAAGGCCTAATATATGGACAGCTGTTCATATATTGTAATAACCACATCATTTATTGGCCACATAACAATTTCTTGTATTCGGAATTTGTCTTGTCACATACCCCAGCTTGCTCTCCATGAGACACACAGACAGGGAGAGAAGTTGGGGGTCAGAGCGCAGGGTCAGCCATTTATACAGCGCCCCTGGAGCAGTTGGGGTTAAGGGTCTTGCTCAGGGGCCCAACAGAGTAGGATTCCTCTGCCAGCTGTGGGATTTGAACCAGCAACCTTCCAGCCACAGATCCTTAGCCACAGTGCCACCGCACCTCACTTACATTTGAAATTATGAGAAGATGTTTACATAATAGTAACAAGATACATCTATCCTGGGCTACATAGTAGTACTTAGCATTGCTGCCACACAGCGCTGGGGCCCTGGGTTTGATTCCTGGGGTGCTGTCTGTGTGAAGTTCGTATGTTCTCCCTGTGTTTGCTTGGGTTTCCTCTGGGTGCTCTGGTTTCCTCCCAGAGTCCAAAGAAACACTGGTGGGTTCATTGGCTTCTGAGAGAGCTGTCCCTGGTGTGAGTGTGTGTGAGTTAAGTGTCTGCCTCTGCCCTGCAGTGGACTGGCGTCCTGTCCATGGCGTGTCCTGCCTCGCGCCCCAGTCATTTGCTGGGATAGGCTGCTCCATGACCCGAATTGGGTAAAGCAGTTAGAAAATGAATGGATGTATCTATCCCTATGTTTCCCATCCCAGGGAAACTGATCGGAAACTGTTGTGAAAGTGATCTGATATCTGTATGTCCTATAATTAATTTCTTCTACTCAGTAATTTCGAGGGATACGTATAGTGTTTACCTTTTCAAATTGATTGTTACAGCGTATTTCGAAAAATGCCGATCAGTTTTGTCTTTGACTTTGTTGTTGGTTAAAGCCTGTGCTATACTGTGTTGTGTTCAATTTTTAAAGAAATTAATAAAGTTTGATTTGAACAAGATGGCGGCCCCCATGCATTGAGAGTATGCGTTTACTGTGGTTATTCACTTTCGGGTCATGCATCATAAATGAAGTGTCAGAAAATACCTGGTTAATATTGCATTTAAGGTTTTGGCGTAGCAAAGGCTTTTCTTTATTTTTTTTAACATGGAGTACTAAATTCACAGATTCAAGCAGAGTCCGGTCTTCAAGACAAGGACCCGGCTGCTTTATTGTACAGTAAGTACTGCAAAACCATTATAGTTGTATCGTTGTATATAGTTGTATAATAAAAATGCTGAGCACTTTAATTTTAATATTAAGATGTGTACATGAAAACATAAATCAAGAGAACAATTGTCTGAAATGCACATACAAATTGTATCTGAAGATGTGATAGTGACATTTATGCTTTAAAATTCAAAATGTGTACATTTGTTTTTACATTTTACCTTAAAATGAAACTTATTTTTTACAATAGCATTAGAACATGTGTGCTTTATAACAGCTGTTAACCTTCGGTAATAAGATGTTTCCTTGGAGACTCAATATCAAGGTAAAAAATCGAGTGAACTGATAAGTAGTGATAATAGGTAGCTGGACTACATTTCACTTTCGTATTATTAACGAATTCTAAAGTTAACCCTGTTTCAATATTTCAACATTGTTTTTCTATAATAATCCACTGGTAGACTTTTCAGTCTGGCATGAAGTAGCCCCTGCTTATTTTTCAGTTTGTCTTGCAACCAAAGATCCTGGGCTGCTGATTCTCAGGCATTTTTGTTTATTTAATAATTTATTATTATTATTATTATTTTATTATAAGTCATAACTGATGATAACGTAGGTTTTTGTACGAAATATTTTATTTTTTGTTGCCCAGTCCATTTTATGTCCTTTTCCTCCTGCATTGAAAAATATATATTGTGCATATTATTTTATTTTATACATCACTGAATTTAATAGAAAATGTGTTAATGATTTTGTAATCCGCAGCACAGAAAACATGGATATCTCTTGTGTCCTGGTAAATATTATCCGAGTTCTCTTTAAGGATACCATCCAGGTTGAGCTCCCATTTAATTCACGAATACTGTTTGCAAAGAAACAAATTGCGTTTGTGAGAGTTCACTCTAGATACGGTAATTCATGGGTATAGAGCTAAGCCATTTCTCTGTGGAATGCATGCGGAGTGACTTCTGTGAGACAAGTGAAAATAAATACCAGAATATCCAGTGTGTTGCAAATCTTACTGAAACACAACCTGACAATGGTGGAATGAGAGAAAATATAATAGAACATATTTTATTGTCACCTTGTTACAAATATGTTTAACCGAAATATCCTCCATGCTTTTTTTAGTAATCACAACCTTTAATGTTATAAATATTATTTTTTATAAATATGTGTCTGTCTGCTTTGGCCCTTTCAGACCTAACCAGTTTCCAGAGTACAGTATGATTGTATTAGTTGCAGTTTTCCCGTCTGCTCTCCAATCAAGCTCATTTTCACCATTTTCGGCAGAGTGGTCAGGCCGCTGCTGTAGGATCACTCGAAATGTCCTAAACCTTCGAACCATCCACTCGAATCAACTCTGTGGAAGCGTCTTCAGAAGTGTGAAGAGACCTAGGCGTTGCCCCCTCTGAACTCTACTCTGTAATATACGTGGGGAAATTAGTCGTGAAAAGAAATTGCAGTTAATTATCCTCTGTCCCCTTAGCACAAGCTTGTTCGGGAGCCTTTGATGTCCAAAGTCTGTATTGTGTTCCAGCTGAAATGGAGTTATGCATTGTAGGATGAACCGAGGCATTTTATAAGCACGCTGAATTATTTCCAGGACCTTTTCAGATGCAGCTAGCTAACGGGTAACACTGTATCCATAGCAACAGCCCGGCTCTTTCAGCCAGGCACAGAAGCTTGAATAGCTGTCTGCACAGTAGCTGGGGGAGTGCGCAGCCCCAGCTCTCATCACAATGGGGAGGTCCCTCGTGTCTGCATTTCTGTTCCTCAAAACATAAATAGGTGGGTGGGTTTGCTTATGTAAGGCAGGTCACACCTGTTGAATACAAGCGATTAGTCAGCACCTCTGCCCTGGCAGATGCATTCAATCCCTTTAATAAGAGTTTTGAGAAGGTTTTATCCAGCGGCTTTGTGGAACTGATGTAGGAAATTAGTTTTTTTTTTCTCCTCGTTTTCAGACAATGCAAATGAACGCGGTGTGTTTTGAAAACTCTCTTTTTGGCGGTGGTGTGAAACGGGCGGTTCTCCTGGTCTGAATTCTCGAATGAGCGGTTTCGCACTCGGCTGTCTGCAGAGTTTACATCCCCAAGGCCGGGAAGACTTGTGTTTAACCCTGCATGCCTGCGCATTGACTCTGTCCTCAGGGGTCTTCCAGGCAGGATCACAGAAACCCGGTTTCTGAAGCTGTACGGTGCGTGACCCAGTTTGCACGCACTTCTGAGCTTCTTGTTTTCTTCTTTGCGTGGAATAGAATGTAGGAGCTTGGCGTCCCACCCGGGGTGTGTCCTGCCCTGCGCCCTCTGCCTGTGCTCTGACGTCCTCGACCCTCGTTCCTGCACTGGATTGTGGGGCAGGAGAACCGCTTCCCAGACGGTGTTTCAGCGCTGTGTGCGGATGTGTTTCCCCCGCTGCAGGTGCCTGGGAGCGGGCGATGCGGGCGGCTCTGTGCCAGGTGGGGCGGCGCTCCCTGGGCCCGGCCGGGCTGAACCGGGCCTGGGCGGCCCTCCTCGCCGCAGGGCCCAGCCTGCCTGTGAGCCGCCGGACCATCTACAGCGAGACGGGCGTGTGGGAGAGGGACTACCGGGCCGAGACGCGCCGCAGAGTGGAGCAGTGGTGGCACCCACTCATCAAGGAGCACTGGCGCCGACGGGCACCCGATGACGTAAGACGTTTCCACGAAATCTGGTGGGGGAGAGAGGGGAGACCTCATTCCCTGTATGCGCCGGACAGCAGTTCCCGGCAAGAGTCCGCCTCCCTTTCCCCTATCTCGGCCCGCTCCGCCAGAACGCGCTGGCCGAGTGAAGAGTTACAGAGGCTTCATTCCCAGCTCCGGTGTAAAAAACACACAAACACACAAACGAGCCCCGCACTGAGCTGGCACTCTGGTTTGACTCTGCGTCAGTCTCCCGCCTGAGCTTGCACGTTGTGTCCTGGGAGGCGAAATAAAACGGATGGAGAAATGGGATTTTTTCCCCTGAAAGTTAAAAAAAAAAAAGTTTTAGCGTAAAGTTGTTCCTCAAGGTTCAATCAGCACAGGCACAATCGTGATAACAATAAGGTGTGCCGTTGAATCGGAGAACAGTAGAATAATACGTGTACATGTGGCCCCTGCTGTGACTGGTCGGTGTGGGCAAATATGCGGCCGACCGATGTAGATCTTTCCTCTGGGGCCAGGTGAGCGTCGCGCGGTCTTTCAGCTTTGCCTCGTGCGTCAGTTCACACTGGTTACCAGGGTTTACTAGGGCAACGGGTGCAGAGCAGAACAGCGCTTCACCTTTTAGCAGTCCTTCCTATCTCAGAACGCAAGTAATATCATGTAGGCATGTCACCCCCAAAGGACACCCCTCTGTCACCCCAAATTCAAAATCCTGGCTGCGCCTCTGACGCAAAATACGGGGACATCAGAGACTCAGTCATCAGAGAGGCCTCCTTTTAAAGACTGGGAGTTGTACCTTCCACGTAAATAACATAGAGAAATGTGATGATTGGGTGTTTATTTTACTGTCGGTTTATTTGTTAGGTATAGAAAAACAACTGCTTTTAAGAATTAATGTTCGCACTTCTAATGTAATCACTGTGATGACGGCTCCTTCTTGATAGATTCATTAGGACCCCATTACTCCTGTTGGATCTGCACAAATGACCTGATCTGACAGAATAATAGTGTGCGAGTCTCTCCTTCAGCTACTGCCGAAAGCGTATTCCGTTACGTCTCCTTCAAGGGAAGCAACTCTTCATGCGTTGATCCCGAAGCCCAAAGTAGAATTTAATGGGCATTATAATATAACACCCAAAGGAAACGTAAATAGCTCCTTGTCCTCTGTGTCAGCTTTGCTTTTAGAAGACTAGTAACACAAAAGGTATTTCCTTTCCCATTTCATTGGTGCGCAGCGTATTTCCCAAGGACGTCGTGCTGTTCAGGCCATTCAGCTCCGATCAAACACTTTTGTTTCGGTGACAAGCTTGTTCTTTGAAGCTTAAGGTTAGCTTATAAGATAAGATTTTATTGTCCCTCTGAGGGAAATTTAACGGACACCCAGCACTCCTGTACATTTAAATAGAATGCAAACAAACAAAAAAAGAAGAAAAGAAAAACATTGCACATTATTCTATTACAAAAAATAAGAAACACATTGCACATCACTCTATTGCATGTGTACAGTATAACACATAACAACATGTAACATTCAGAACACATCACAAAACATATCGCACTCAATTATGTTTCTCATAGGTTACCTTGCTGGCATATTAGCTTTAATGTCTGGATTCAGTTTAGTAAAAGCCGCAGGCTGAATCATAAATACAGTAATGTGCGCATGTAAAAATACATGCTCACCTAGAAACCTGATGGTAATACGTCTCAGCTGCAGTTCCAGCAATCCTCCAGGGACTCTGCACAGTAAGGTCAAAGGAGAGTAGGTAAATTTCAAGACCAGCGTTAAACAGTACCGACTCGGCTTCTACAAAGTGTTTCACTGTTTTGCTGTGCAAATGCCATTTCGTCCGTTCCCTTCTGTGACTCGTCAATACCTGGCGACAACAGCGGAACTGAACATTCAGCCCTCGTCGCAGTGGGTTGGAATAAAAGGAGTTTAAAAGTCAAAGCAGTGTTAAGCTAAAGTTTCATTGTTTATGAATGGCCCACAGTGTTGACCAAACATTAATTCACAGAGAAGAGAGACTCTGTACAGCTTGATCAGACCACGGACTGAATCTGCCTTCGGTCACAGCAGGATAGCCACAGCTTTTTGTCAAATCAAGAGTCTTACAGGCTGTTGAATCTTTTTTTTATTTTAATCCTTATTTGCACTATCTTTCTAACTCTGTTGTGCTGTGCTTTATTGTATTTTTAAACAAAAAAACTAGTTTCTTCTTTCACAGGACACGTCTCTCCTTTAAAGCTCGAAATTATTTTTATTCGAAAACAAAAGCAAACTTGCCTGTGTTTCATTTTTGAAGCTGTGAGCATGGGATGAAATTGGTAGATTGGATTTCTGTTTCAGCTGCAGCCTTCCTTCTATGCAGTGTGAAAGCAAGCAAGGTTCAAATTATATGAATTGATTTAAGTGGACAGAATCAATTTTGGGGTAATTGCTTCTTAATTACCACCACTCTGACTAATTGGTTTTATTTTTGGTTCATTTAAATTTGTTCCTTCGTGTGAGATGATTTTGTCAATCAGTTGACAATTCAGTCATTACACTCTCTTTACATTCTGATGAAATTTCGACACTTAATTGAACTCATCTGTTGTTCAGGTCACAAAGTAGTGTGTAGACCTAGTGAGTATCCCACGTGCATAAAGAAAAGCCTAGATGACTATTGCACAGTTCACTATGGGGACTGCTTCAAGAAAACATTTTAGTGTTTGTGTTTCAAATACCAAGTTGCATCGCCATTGCTTATGTAAATGAAGGCAGTAGTCAAACTGAATAATTCAAAACCATTCGACTTCTTATGATTAATGCAGTGTCGCAGGGATAGGTTTTGTCTATCACTTTCAAAGAGGTTTATGAATCACCGTGATTGTACATGCACACTGTGGGTGCTGCTCATATTAATTCTGTTGAGGAGCTGCACATCTGAACAGGCATCATCTCAGAAGATCAGAAGACCGAGGGATGTACTAGGACTCATAAATAAGGTTTTCATGACTCTCTTCTGGTTCTGAGTGTTTGTAAATAGGTTTGTGGGATCGTTTTAAGTATCTGGGTTTTGGTTCCCTTTTAAACACTAATGAGTGTTATGCATCACAGTGAACATTGAAATCCCCATTAAACTGCGGTATCAACATAAACAAGGCTATCAGAAGACCTGAATTCAGTATTCATAATACTCAAAAGGTTATGTCAATGGATTTCAGAATTGGCTCCAAAGCAGAAATCAGAGGACATATTTTAACTGTCTCGGATCTAAAAGTGCCTTTTGATCTGAGACCCGGAGAGGCCCTTTTCCATGAAGAACTGTAGGAGTCTATAACAGCTGCCCAGCTGTGGTGTTGGACTTGACACCCCAGAATCTTTCATAGAGTGACAGGCTGAGATACTTGCATAGATTAACTACTAAAAACAGGAGGAGCCAAGATGGGCCAAACTGTGCCCTTTGCATCAGTAACTTTTTTTAATGTTTGTATGCCAGAATGTGGAACAATTATTTTCCACAGCCTTGCTCACATGGTGACATTGCTTTGTTGCTTGTTTTGGTGTGAATTCTACCTGAGATCTAAACTGATTAAACTGAAGAAATTATGTACTTAATAGGTCAAAATGCTGGTTGTCTTCATGTGAAAATCTTTCAATGATCACAGCGATGAAGTCCTACAGGCCTGGTTTGGTTCTTCCTTGCCCTAGGTTCACTGTCAGGTCTGTTTCCTTGTCTTTGCTCCTCAGAAATCGCGACAGAAGTTCTATGTGCTGTCCATGTTCCCCTACCCCTCTGGAAAGCTGCATATGGGGCACGTTCGAGTGTACACTATCAGCGACACCATCGGCCACTTCCAGAGGATGAGAGGAAAGCAGGTGGGTCCTGAGAACGTCAGTACTGTCCCATGACTCGGCTTCAGCCCTTCCTTCTGTCTATCATATTAATGCAACATTTCTGTTCTATTCAGGTTTGTCGCACCCTTAAAGAATCTACTGCCGTCTGTATGTTTTCTAAAATAAGGATAATTACGGTGTCCTTTTTCAAGTACAGTGAATTTTTAAAATGAATTTTTATTTTTTTTAAACGCAGCTCGATTCAGTTTATTTGTATATAGCGCCTTACACAACAAGGTTGGCCCCAGGCACTTAACAAAGCTGTGTGACAGTACAGGACATTCCAATACAGAAAGAGAAAGAGACAGAAGACAACAGAGGAGAGGAACCAAAAACTCTTCTGTAATGAGAGAAAGAACCCTCTAGGGGTCCAAGGTCAGCTGGCTGCCCAGCCTCTCTGGGCATGCTGACACAACTGTGTCCATCGTTGTTTTTCCCCCACTCATTTGTCTCGCTGTTAAGGAAGGCAGGAATGCATCATTCTCCAATGCAGGCTGCCCACAAGCAGAGGGACACTGATAATCCTGCTCCTGCTTTATACTAATGAATCTAAGATGGTTGAAGGAGCACGTACTGGATGAGTGACCTGAAGTGTTTTCAGAAGCACAGAAGAAAGCAGTGGCGCATTATATAAAAAAAAAACATCATTTTCTAAAGCCGTGCTTCCAGATAATCCGGTGGGGGATCCTTTATATAAGTATAATTTATTTGAATTGTAACTGTTTTGTCGCCGTAAAAGCCAGAAGAAGAGAAACTTCTCTCTGTGCCGTCGCAGTGTGGCCATAATTTGTTCATAACTGCAGAGGCACGGCTAACGATGTAATTGTGTGTGTGGGTGTGCGTGCACACCTTTCCCTTCGGTTTGTTAGTGCAGAAGTGAACGCAGGAGGAGGCTGTGTGGAGTGCTCAGGTGAGGCTGGAGTAGCAGCCGTGAAGACTGCGTTTAATGAGCTCCTTTCCCCCCAGGGAGCGCGACAGCTCTCTCAGCCATCATTGACCTGCTTTCCAGGGAGGGAGAGGATAGATAGGGGGCATCCAGGTAACCACCAGCCTCTGGCTGAGCAGGCCTGTCCTCTCTGCTGGGCGTGAAGCACTTTAACTTCGCCTCCTTATCTTTCTCTCCCTCCCTCCCGGCCTGGATTTTGCTTTGGCTGCAGCCTAATCGGTGCTCGTCTGAGGAGGATATCAGCTCTCCGACTAAACTTGTAAAATTGAGTTTTTCTCTAGTTTCCGAAAGAGGGGCGGGGGCGGGGAGGATTTCTATTGTGGTGTAGATGACCGAATTAGAACGTTGTTTTTTCCAAGGGTCTCTCGGCCAGCTCTGCCGCCCACGTGCTCCCATCTCCAACACGGTATTCCAGGCGCCCGGTCGTGCCAGACAGATAGTGCCAGTTCACACTTGCCTCGTGTTCTGGCTCCAGGCCAAGGTAAAGCCCCCTAACTTTACGCCCCGCTGCTCACCAGATGGGCCAGGCGCGGTCCACGCTGCGTGGGCACGCGGCCACAAGCGCTCGCAGTGTCGGAAGTCCGAGGAAGCGTCTGGAAGCACTTCCCCCGGCTTATGCAACAAAACATGTTTGGCAGGAAAAGGGGGCAAGGAGCCACGCCAGAAATGTCAGCGCTTTTTTTTTGTTGAAAACGAAGGAGATTCAAATGCGACTGCCGGGTTTGCGTTCCCTTCAAACATCCGTTCGGTCCCCGTCCCGGGAGCCTGTGGTGGTGGGGGGTCGTGGCGGGTCACTCAGCTGACAGGTGCTCTTGAGCCGAGCTGCTTTGGGGTGCCCTGGGGGGCGCCAATGGGGAGAAGAAAGGGGCTGTGCTCTGGCAACGCTGGAGCTGAGGGGCTGCCGCGTGTTCCAGCGCCGGTTTGACGGAGGAGGAGGAGGAGGAAGAAGATGGTGCAGGAAGGGTAGTGCCTGAAGCTCTACTGACCTGACCAGAGGCCCCTCTGACTCTCAGCTCGTGCTCGTCCAGCCCCCTGGAGTTGACCCCACTGTGGCCTGGGCAGCTGTCTTGAACGTCTCCATCCATTTATTTTTCTGTGCGCCCTGGGCTGAATGGGCTGCTCTGTATGGAAGGTGGTGATTTCCCATTTGATACACTTCTTATAGAGATGGGGGTAGCAGTGCGCTGAGAAAGGTCCTGAATCACAGGATGCTTAGCACTCCAGTCTATTGGAAAGGCATTCTTAGAATATTTTCAAGATAATATTATGTTCAAGTAGACTTCGGTTTTAGTATTGGAAAAAGGTCTGAAGCGGGTCTACCCAATGTTTCCCTTCCATGAAAGCATTACACATGACAAAAACTTGGAAAATGATTATGCTGTCAAATGCGTTTATAATCTACTGTAGGGGAGCAAGATGTTTTCTTTCAGAATTTCAAATGAACGCGCTCTTCAGCAGTTCGAGAGAGGGGTAGAGTCATATACTGTGTGCTTTGAGGACGGCAACCTTTCTCGAAACAGTGTGATGTAGAGGACGCCATTTTTAGATTGAAAGAAAAAAGGAAGCTTGAGTTTACGCGTCTCTAACGGCGCTGTTGCTTATCAAAGCATGCAAATGTATCTTTTCTTATTTTTAAGCTAAGAAAAAGTTAAGAACATAGCTGTATGTCGCAGTGGGAGATCCAAGAGAGTCAAGTGTATATTTTATTTTCCCCAAAATTCTCATCCTTTGGTTGAGTCTTGTCATTTAGTACGTCTATTTAATTTTGCTGCAGCGTGTCGGAAGGAGGGGGCTTGTTGCGTGACTGTGCTGCAGGGGTCTTCAGATAAAGTGATAGTTCTGGCTTGAAATGAAATGTGTTCATGTACAGGTGTCATTTGAAACCTCGTTCATGGTGAGCCCTTTGCAAGAGTTCAAGAGTTTTACCCCTTGCATAACTGGCTTAAAAAAGGTTTTGTTTATTGCCTGAATGTTATCTTATTTGTCTTATTTAATCTTACTTCTCCACTTGACTGTTGAATTAGACTTTCCTCTATGTTTTGTGATCAATCGATGTAACCTTGTATGCAACACATTTTTTATTCTGAGTAGGGAAGGACAACGAAGCTGTCCTTCGGCTCAAGAATAGATCAAGCAGATCAAGAATAGTAAGATGCCTTTAACCTTTTATGCTGCAAACTGAGCTGCTGGCTTATTTCCTCTATTTTCATGTATGAAATGTGGTTTGCATATGTACTGTATATCCAGAGTGCATGAAATCACGCTCAGGTCTGAGGCAGAGAATTTGTATTTTAGTGGTAGGATGTGATGTGGAGTGGTTTGTACTGGCATTGTTGCTTTTTTACAGTATGCCCTCATAAATTTTTTATTATTGTTTTTTTAATACATTTTTGGACTAAAAGCTTTTCATCTTAAATGAAAAGTCATGCTACATAACATATTAAAATTCAAATTAATTTTCTTCTTGCCCAGTTACTTCTATATCTTAGTTCAATATCTTTCATCTCTATGTTCTTAATTTAAGATTCTTCAAAAATACTTACATTCATTTTTATTGATTCATGGCCATAATGTAATCAGGTTCAGTCTTTTGAGGTAACCTTTATATCATAAACCTGAGGCTCTGTGTGCAGACCAGAGGATGATGAACGAGATAGATATCTATCTGTCTGACCAGAATCTAAACCTTTGCCAACAAGCAAATCAGCAGCTATTGTCAGGTGAGCAGAGATATTCTAGTTCTTTGTAGAGTAGAAGACATGTTTTATTCTGTGTTCTCTTTGCCTCAGTTAATTTCTGCGGTTGCAAGTATTTTGGCCTTATTCCCTGAACCCTATTGTTTATTGTTTTAAGCAGACATGGTGATAAAGAGGAAACGAGTCCCGTTACTTTCAAAAGGCTGACATTTGTTCAGCCAAGGTAGCTGCGATTCATCATTGAAACTGTTTTTGTGTGGCCTTTAAATCATCTTGCAAAGCTTTTGTTTTTCTGCAGTGTCTTGCTCATTATAAAGATCACCGTCATCTGCCTGGCATTCTAATTACAGTACCATACTTTTAAAATAATTTCATGTGCCCTTTAAAATACAATCATGCCAAAGCTGAAAAAAATTGATATTATTTCCTGGAATGCTGTATCCATTTGGCAATGTATTGTGTCAATTCTGATCTGTTCTTAACATTTAAAAGGTCAAATGCCAATCCTTTGCCAAGAAGTTCAAGTATTTATGCTGATCTAGTTTTAACGTGTTTTAACTTTCTGATCTGGTTTTGCAAATAATTTTAATCCAGGCCGGAGTTTTAGGAATGTTTAGATATATAAATGAATCTGTTACAATAACTATAATGTCGAATGTTTCTTATTAGATGTGTTAGTGGACTCTTGTCTTATCCGGCCTGCATTGTTAGCAATCTTCAGAATGGCACTTACTGAAATAATGTAATGAAAGCTTCTGCTGCAAGTAGTTATTCCCAGAGATATACAGAATATTCATATCTTTGAATGGCTGGACTTGAGAGGCTTGGTATTTAAGGAAATGACTTTCTGAAGCAACCGCTGAACCATTTCGCCTGTTATGCAAAGAACAATTGCAGAAAGGCAAAATCAGTTTGGGATTTTTCCGACTGGGCATGAAGAACACTTCTTTCAACAGATCGAACGCGGTTGTGAGACACTGTCTTAAGCCGCTGCTGAGCTCTGCTCTCTAATTGGCTAATGAGACATTTCAAACTTCTTCAGCAAATTCCCCATGGCTTTGGAAACTAACAAGAAACGGGCTGTGCTTTGAGAAGGACCGTGGGTATTGCGACAAAGTAATTGCTGGCGGAGTGTGTTTAACTTGCAAATTCCACCCGTCCAGTGAGATACACCTCATTACTGTAAAACATACACACACATATCTACACCTTCCCTTAGAGTAAGCTATACAGTATTTAACAATCAAGGATGCGTGAATGCAGTTCAGATTTGTGAATGTGGATCATTGCCGTCCGGTTTATCAGACCAGTTGTGTGTTGTCTTGTCCTGTCCAAAGCTTGTGTTTCTAGATGGACTTTTTAGTCCGTTTCCACACTCTTACTGATTTGTAATGTGACAGCACAGGTACCTCTCCACCTTGTCCTAGAAGAAGGATTCTATTGCGTCTGAAAGTGGGCTGATTTCTGAGTTCAGCATTGTGGCATTATGGTGTTTATATACAGCTTACAGTTATACAAGGGCAATCCATTCTGAACTTTTTTTTTATTGAAATTTTTTTTTTATAGTACAAACAAATCGGGTAACTGTAATAGTCCCATACGTATAATAGTCTTATTCTTTAAGATGAGTGTGAGACAGTTATCTCCGTCTGTTGTCTAGTTCCAAGCATTTATCTCGGAGCGGTATTTTTAATGAGATGAGATTTTGCTAGAAATATAATGCAATGTCAACCGTTATTTAGGCTGAGACAGCAAGTATGTAAAAAGTGTGATAGTTTAAAACAACACGTTCTTAGCTACTCATTTATGTTTCTGTTTTAATGTTTTTTAAGAATTAGCGATGAGAGTATTAAGTTAAAAGGCTACCGTTTGTTATACTGTAGCTGTTCTGGAAATAAAAGAATTTGATCTCATCTCCTAATGCCTACAGCAGCACTGAATTATAAGATCGTTAGCTTTGCTAATACAATATTTAATGTTCTGCTTGCCGAATTAAGTCCTTTACAGTTACCTAGGCTACAGATTTATTCCACATCATCAAAAGCTTTGTTTTTGTTAGAGTCATTGTGCTCAGTATACAGCACTTCCTTCTTAGTCGCTTGCTTCTTAGACTGGATATTTATAACTCAGTTAGCAGAAGAACAATATTTACTGAGATTTCTATGAAATGGCTGCCAGAAAGATAAGGGAAGGAACACAGATACTTCTGAAAAAGACACTGCTATGAACTCCTCTCTGACGTCCATCTCTTTCAAAGTGCCTTAAATTTAGTGCTTGTTAACTTGTTGTTGTTGCTTGTTAAATTGGCACAAAAAATTCTACCAGTTTATAACTTCAAGAAGACCTTGAAGTCTTCACGACCCAGTTGTGTCTTTTAGCTTCAATGTCTTTACTCTGAAACTGAGCTTTCAGTGGATTTACTTGGGCCTGTTAACTAATGATTTCATAAGCTTTATAAAAATGTAATTAATCAGGTTTATGTTAGTTATGGCTAATGTACAACCGGGATTTAAAAAAAAAATACTTACAATTCTATTTGAGTAAAATAGCACAATGTTTAGTAGAGTAGTATATGTAGCAGAGCTCTGTAATTAGTTTACTGCAAATTTCTAAACCTTGAAGAACATTCTATGTCTGAATCCACAGAGTTTTCTGAGGAGTCAAAACTACTGACACTGACATTTTATAAGTGTTTTGTGCAGTTCTCAGTTTCTTCCTGAATTCCCAGATTTGTTTACTTAAGAAAACCTCTTTCGGAGACTGTCAGGGCAGTTTTAAGAAGGCATATTATTTTGTATTCTATGTAAGTGTAAAATAAAACTTGAAAAGGAAAAATTAAAATGTTTAGAAGATGAGGTGAAATGCTTACAATCTTGTCGCTGCTACTAGATGTCATAAAAATATCTTAAGAACCACAGTCTTGAGACTTACTCATGAGACAAAGCCAATGAAGAAAAAATCTACTTCTAAACCCAATGACATCAATAAGAAATTAAACACATTTGAACATATTGAGATCTAAACATAGGATCTCCACAGCCTCCTACAGTACATTTACATTACAGGATGAATTAGTTGAACAGTATCCTGCCACCCCATTGTCCCATTGAGACGAGTCTGCTGGAAGGGCGAGGGTGTGTGAGGGTGCTGTAGCTCCCACAACTTGACCAGCACAGAGCCGTGCAGTCAGTCACCCATGGGTCGCTGCGAGTGGACTGCTGTAGTGACCAGACTCCCCACTCAGGCCACCTCCCTGGACCCTTGTTATCAGCAGGAATCGGTGCATTCTTCCGCATGTCCGTGCCACGCAAGCTGTCTTTCATTAGCAGCGCAGAACCTTGATTCGTTGCTAAGGAAGGCCTGGTTTTAGTGCTGGTGGTTAATGAACATCGGCGGTGGGCCGTCTTAAAGGCATACGCGCAATGTACGTAAACAAAACAACGTGGTTTTCAAATAGTAGAACATCACCATATTAACAGGACTGGTTTTAAAGGAATATAACCAAAAATTAGAACATCGTATGGCTCCTACACTGAATTGGTTCAGAGGAAGAAACCTTGCTTTGATGTTCTGAGCGCGGACTGTCTTGTTTGACAAACGCGGGGTAGTGGCGTCTTTCTGGTCTGGATCCCTCTTCTCCCTCTCTCCTGAAAGTGGAGGCTTGCCCTGTTTGCTCTGTGTCATCAGATAAACCACTCGTCTCATCTGCGCCGTCTAGTATGTGAATTGGGAGGTTTGAGAATCCTGTGCGATTACCTTACCATAAACCTGCCCAATTCTGTCTTCCCACACCATTCTCACACAGTGGCGGGCATGCGTCGTATTCAGTGCATGTCCTTTAAGATTTTATAGTTGTGAGCACCCCTTATTTTTTCCTAACGTGTGTGTAATTGCACTTGAACTTTGCACTTTTTTGAATGAGGACCACAGTGTGGATGTTGGGTTGGACGGAAAAGTTCGATTTCTTTTTGCGAAATGTTCAGGAAATACAAATTTGAAGTGGGCCGGAGCTGTGAAACCTGTTTGCTGAAGCGGAGTGGTTAATCTCGGGGTGGGAGGCAGTCCGTGTCGTCAGTAAGAGGTGTGTGGTGTGACTGCAGGTGCTGAACCCCATGGGCTGGGATGCTTTTGGACTCCCAGCCGAAAATGCGGCTATAGAGCGCGGACTTGACCCGGAGGAGTGGACTAAAAGGTAATTCAGGCTTTTCCTCACATTGGAACCCAGGAGGGATTAAAAAAGACAGTACAGTGCACCCACTATTATATGATAGATAATATATATACTATATGAATGCTTTCTGTATCTTTTGTCAAATTATTTTAACAATTGCAATCAACACGGTCATTAAAAAGTGTTCCTGTACCTTTTTTATACAAGCTCTTTATTTCATGTTCCAAAAATATCCTGTAGAAGATTTGCTGAAGCTCACAGAACACAAACGACACCCATCATAAGCAACTGACCTACCCCTATGGGGCATCACTGATATGCCCGAATTTTCAGCCTGTCTGGTATTTAGTTTTATTATTCGTGCATTTCCCTGTAATTGTCAGGAAAATACGATATTTATGATTTTACAGAGAAAATTTCCCTTCAGCAGGTTTGGTCAGTGATAGTGACGTCCATTAAACCAAAGATTACTGTGGTTCCTAAAGAGCAAAGTTTCATTAGTATTTAGGTGAAAATGGTTCTTGAACGTCTTTTGGTGTCATTCTTGAATGTCACTCTGATGCAGTTACTTATCTTTCCTTATTCGCCTGCTGCTTTGGAAACGTCCTCTTCAGATTTTAACTCACTGAAGAAACCTGTAGATGGGTAGGTGCTCTGTGAGCACGTGGCTCAGCCCCTTGACTCCTAATTAAGCCGGTCGGTGGAGGCTGACGCTCCGCAGGAAAAGAGCTGGTCTCGCCTGCGCCCCCTCTGTAACGGCTGGGGAGTGAGACGATTCCTTCCTTCGCCGTCCTGCGTTAATTCAGAGGCCAGCGCCAGAGTGGGCACCGCACCCTGGTCAGGGCAGCAGCGCTGGGCCTGAGGGCACTCTCAGCCTGACAGCGTTTCTCTCTCCAGGCCCAGCAGACAGTGAAGAACCCCACCGCCCTGATCTTTCTGGAACCCGGGATTTTTAAAATCTCCTAGCAGCAAGAAAAACATCTTTGTTAAACCCCAAACTGTCTAGTTTACTGTACGTGCAATGTCGTTAGCACCCCAGACTTTATTGAAAGATTTGGAACTGTCAAGACTGTCAAGAACTGTAAAGGATTTATTTATCACACGAACTGTTTTAAGTGAAGTAGAAGGAGCCTGGGGGGTCAAGACAAATTGGGGAAACTGCTGTTTTCTCTTTTCCAGTAATATTGAGCACATGAGGGAGCAGCTGGACAGTCTCGGGCTCTGTTTCGACTGGGACAGGGTGAGTGGAGACCCCTTTTCAATCACACCTGCAGCCCCCCTGCCCCCTTCCCTTAATCACGTTTGAAAGTGAGACAGCTATGTCTGAGGAGGTAGCATTCGGTAGGCTGAAGTCCCAAGAACAGTTTTGTGTGCTTTGTTTTCTTTGAGAGCTTCGCCGTTTCTTGGCAGCAGATTCACCACCGTGTACCCCGATTTAAAAATGCCTGGTTCATAAATTAGTGCCATCACGATGTTATTTTACAGCGTCATTTATTTCAAATTCTAATTTTAACACTAATTCGACCATGTGTTGCATTTCCATTCCAGAGTCCTTCATAGGAGCTTCCCTTTATTACGTGTATTCTAATATCAGTATAATTGTAGTTCATTACCTGTTTAATTTTAGAATAACATTTTTCCTTTTAATTGGGAATTTTCCTGTGGTTACCTTCTCTTGCAAAAGGGATGAATTGAAGCTCTTGCCTTGCTTGGCACTGTCTGCAGTCTTAGCTGTTTGTGCTGCCATGGGAAGATGAAGGCCAACTATTTCCTGGCATTCATTGTGGGAAAACCACTGAAACCACGGTCCCAAATAGAAAACGTTCTGATAATCATGATGGTTTTAAGCGCGTTAATTGTTTTGATCCAAACGTTACGCACGCGTTTAAAGTGTGCTACAGGCAACTGATCCATTTTTCTGCTCTGTTTATAAATTACTAAGATGTGCGAAGTGTTCTACATGGGTGAGTCTAGTTTGGTTTGGCCAGGGAGAGAATCACTGAATTGATTTGAAATACTGTAGTTGCTGAGCAGGACTCAGGAAAGTTGATACTTTTTCCAGCTCTCCTGAGATAAGAGATTTTCTGAAGTAAACGTGTCTCGGTGGTTATTCTGAACTTATAATTTTTTCCTCCAACCTGTTCTAATTTATTGGTGTGAAATCTAAATCCTGAGGGAACAAAGTGAAAATGGAAGCTCTTATCCCTCCTCTTCTCTACTTTTTACTGCTCCTTAAGGAGAACGTGTTGTTTAGTTCTTCCGTCAGCAGGCGAACTCTCGGAGATACAAACCCTCTGCTCATTCCCCGTCTGTCTTTCTCCACAGGAAGTCACGACTTGCCAGCCTGATTACTATAAGTGGACACAGTACCTGTTTGTCAAGCTGTATGAGGCAGGGCTGGCCTACCAGAAAGAGGTGAGTGACCCTGCTGTGTTATGAGTCCGTGTCAAAGTACTTCTGTTTACTTACAGCTGCAAGGATTAATTGGCAAGTTAATTGCCTAATTTCTTGCAGAAATTGGAAATTATACAATATTGTCATTATCATCGAAACCAAATCATTTTAATTTCTATGAAATTAACCCAATTTTCTGTTTCTGCCTTGTCCCAGTAAAATAAACCACTCTCAGACATGGACATTGACAGTGTAAAAGCAGTGAGCTGTAAAGGTGGTGTTGGAATCGTCTGTCACAGTAAAGGCCTTGTTCTGAGACGAAGTGCATGAAATACTGTTGATGGTTAATACACCTTTATGGTGTCTGTGTAATGCTCAGGAGACGTTGACGCATGTCTCTGTGTCATCTGAGAAACCGGAGACACCGGAGACAACTTTAAAGGCCCTGGTTGTATGATGCTCTGCCACGACATGGCAAATTGCCTCAGTTTACTTTGTGGTAAATTGCCACTAGAGAATTTTTCTGGTTCTTTATCTTCTTAACACTGTTCGTCTGCAACCCATTTTCCTTCGGTTACACTGACATTTTTTTTTGTCAGCACCTGGATGAATGTATTTAAGTCAGTTTGAACAGAAGGGCTCAGAAAGGTGTGTTTTTGTGTGTTTCTGAAATAAAGCCAGTCAGATGGAAAGCTTTCTTCCGCTTGATTACTTTAATTTATCATTAAAACATCAAGCTCTGACTGTTCAGGCATTCCCCTGACTAAAGTTTTGAATAAATCAAATACTTGTAATCCACTTGATTGTTGATATTCTGTTTTCGTATGATATTTTCCCAAATCATATTCAATAAAAGCTTAGTACTGCCTACTTACAGGATGGGATGTAGCGCTTACCTGTTAAAGTCAGAATTTAAAAGTGTTGGATCCTACATATTAAAAAAAAAAACTGCCGCGGTTCTTCAATTCAAGGTTCCAGAAGGCAGAGTTAAGTGTTACGTAGGCCATGTGTACGTCTTCACCAGTTAAACTTTGCAGCAAAATTCATGTGAGATGTAGCATTGGGTGTATAGAGAATATCCACTGATCTCTTCTTGTCACAGTCCCCCATTCTGAGTGCCTCCAGCTTTATTTTAAGAGTCTCTCATTTTTGTACAAACTACATAAATATTGCATGCAAATCTTAACATGAACAGGCCCCATTCATTATTGAAGATTTGAGCTGCAATTGGCAGCAAAGAGTGCTTCCAAAGTGCACCACGAAGCCTCTGACAAGGCTCAGTTCCTAAATTCTTCCTGTAAATTTTAGTTGCATATGCATTTTGAACTGTGTGGTGACCTAGTGCGAGAGGTGCCGTCTCGTCACTGGTTCATTCCAAAATGACATTTATTGAAACGGGTGGGAAAAATGCTTCCAGGAAAGACACACCTCGATTTGCCGACGCAAGCTGCGAGATTCCTTGGAACATAACGTCGATGGGCAAGATGTTATGTTAAAAAATACGGGCCACAGACCAGAACCGATTGTTGCTGAGGCTGACTGTGTGGGAAGGGTGGATGGTCACAAGCACTTTGCTGTGTGTTGGACTGATGACATGCCCCTGCCTCCCCCCCCCGCCCTGTGGCTTGTGCAGGCCCTAGTGAACTGGGACCCTGTGGATCAGACGGTGCTGGCGGACGAGCAGGTGGATGAACACGGCCGCTCCTGGCGCTCGGGAGCCGTGGTGGAACAGAAGCTGCTGAAGCAGTGGTTCATCAAAACCACCAGCTACGCCAAGGTGGGTCAGAGCTGTCCGCGGATCGGAGCACAGGGGGCTGGCAGAGCTTGAGCAAACCGGATCGCCTCGTCAGCCGCAGCGTTCAAGCTGACCTGTCTCTAATTCGACTTCCTTTCAGTTGTTTGTAGGTGCAAACACGCGTTTGGTGTGCACACATGGCTGATTGCATGACATTTCGAAAGGGGGGGTTAAGTGCCCACTGTTTGTCTGGGGTCAGTCAGGGCTGTTAAGGAAAGCTACAGTAGTCTGGTTTGGGGAGCAGCGTGGCGGAGCACAGATTTTGACCTGTCCTTTCCAGGGACCCATTAATCCTGAGTACTTCCCATAGGAGTGAGAACTCGTGGAGGTCAAAGAATGATTATACGGATCGAGATCAGCCTTCATGGAATCGATATCTCAGTGACACCCTCTCATTAGACTCCATTGGAGAAATAAGGATTTTTCTTTACGGTGTGATCAAATAACAGATCTTTAACTGTATTCTCCTGTGCTCACATATTGATTATCACTCAGTGTCGGTACAAATTTGTTAATTGAGCATTGAATCCAATAGCATTTATTTCTTTTTTAACGCCTTTCTGTATGTGACCTGTGATTAAATTCATCTTCGTGCTTATATGTATATATATATTAAGATATATGAAGGTACTGTGTCTTATATTGGTTTCGAATTCTTGATGCAGGTTAAAACATTATTTATGAGTCAAGGCCACGTGACCGGCAAGGTTAGACTGAATTTGAAGCCATGTGATCTGAGAAATTGTTTATTTACTACTGTTACTAGAAGTCTGCTGCATGGGTTCAGCTCAAACCCAAAACGAAATTAACTCAGATGCAGTCAACTGTGACAGTGTACTAATTCTTGCCAGAACATCCTCCTCCTCCTCCTCTTAAAGTATTAACCTGCTGGGTCACTGGTTCCCTGCTGAATGCTCAGACATCCACTTGTGCAGTGTGCCAGTAACCACAGTAATTCTCTCAGTTCTGTCCCTCTCTCCGATTATAAATATGAATGACTTGTGTTGACAAAGCCACGACTCAACTGTTTCAAAGATTACAGTCCCTAAGAGTGGACCCATGTTTGAGAAATAGTTTACTTTATCGTATTTACTTTTTTGTAAATTTAGTGTAAATTGTGTTTTGGGTTAAAAAACACATTGTGGACCATTTTCAGATTATTTGCCTTTCCCCTTTTATTGGTGTGGTAGAGGGTGATCATTTATCATAACCCTCAAGGTTAAACAATGTACAGTGAGAGATATGGCTAAATCAAAGCCTTATTGATTTCCTGACATCAGTGGTGTTAGTGCTTTGAAGTTCACGCAGATGATAACAAAATTAAGTGATTCCAGCAGCAAGGGCTTGTCATGTTAGTCTCTTTGAGAGATCACTTGTAATTACGGTACTTTGTTGTTTGCAAAACACCCGTTTTTGATTGAACAATGCACAAATGATGGTTGCAGTTTGTATTTTGAATTTTAAAATATGAGAATATCTCTGCATCAGTTAAAAGATGGGCATTCTTTGAGTATGTGCTGGGAAGACATTGTATTGATGACATAATTTAGGTTTTATTTCCATATCTGAGCATGAGAATAGTCATGTAATTTAGCAGAACTCTTGTGCTGGCTTAAATTAATGCATGAGGAGTTTATTTCCATTTACCCCTGTTGAAATGTTCCAAAAGTGCAGTTACTTAATTACGTTAATTAACATTATTCTTCATTCTTATTGTGTTGAATTATATAATAGGCTTAATGATGGTGGTGGTGTTGGATATTTTTAACAGCAAAGGTGTAAAAAAAAAAAAAAAAAACAGTTTTAGCTGCACTGTTAGATTATCCAGAGTTTTGAAGGCAAATTTTCCCATTTGTCTTTAGTATTGCATTAACTCAAAGAGAAGAAAAGGTTCCTTAGATTGGAACCTAATTGAGAATACAGAAAAGAGCATAATTCGTGAAAATTAGCAAGCGTGAAGGAAAAGATACAGATGGAAAGGCTGAATGTTTCGTGTCTGTATAGACACAAACATCTTTCTGTGTTTAAAAGTCTGGCTTCTAAACCTGTGTATATGTAATGCTACAGGAAGGAACCAAAACATGATGGACATCAAGGGATAAGATTTCTTAGGAACTTGGCCCACCTTGCCTGTTTGGTAGTCGGTAGCTCAGCTAAGTCAAGCCTTTTCTGGAGAGAAGCTGAGGTATCGATGTCTAACAGTGACTGTGTGTAGTTTCAAGCTTCCACAGCCCTTTCGTGAGGAATCGTTGGAGGAACTGGGATGGCTGAGCTGGAACAGAGTTTAAAGAGCAGGCGTGGAGGAGCGCTCC